GCTTTAACCTCTTAATAGCTGATATGTTTTACAGCCTCTGTCCCACTTTGAGCCAATACAATCACATCTCCTAAATACAGTAGGTGCTAAAGTAGGTCCAGGGACCCCCCAGGGCTTTAATAGGGTTTCAGAGGGGGGGGGGGGGGCTCAGCAGAATGAGGATTAGTTTAATTTCACTATCGTTGCATTCATTTAAAGATGGGACAAGCAGATAAATGCTTTGATGAATTTACACTAACCAACTCCTCTGTGATTTTCTTAACAGTGCCAAGAGACAAAACTGCAGTATCAGTGTCTACACCATACTGTGTTGCAATAATACTAAGTTAAAGGAGTAATACAACAGTGCATTGGAAATAAGAAACTCATTACAGGATACCGTACAGAACACAATACAGAATGAACGCAGTTGAAAGTGCAAAATGTATGTATATTGCTGGATTATTATTTTGAAGCATTACCAAGTAAGCAGCATTTTAATGATGCAGCTGGTCATGGCTCAGCGAAGTGTTGCTACTAATGAATGCATCAAATATATAGCAATATCCTATGTTTTGTGTGTAATTTGTAAAGTTACTATAGCTGTAAAATAAATGTGGTGGAATAAAAAGTAAAATATGTTTGGATTGTAAAGTTGAATGCAATTGAAAACTTAAAGAAAGTATACACCCTAAAATGTGTTTCAATACTTGTAGATACTTACCATATCTGTATAAAGTAGATATTTGTGAAGTGTTTTCCTCTGAAAAATTGGGCCCTTTTTAGCCATTTCAATTTGTGTGCATTATAAGGTATAAATAATGGTACCTCTTCAAAGTATTGAAAATCAAGGACTGTTTCCGTTTTGTAAAGACGTTTGGGAAACTTAGCTTGGCGTGCCCCTGTGTACATCCATCTCAAAGTTTACCCAACAAGCAGGTGGAAGGAGGCACGGTGGGCGCATCGCAGGCGGAGGGATCCATTCTTGCAACCTTCTCTCTTATGGCCCCGAGCTGCCCTCTCCGCTCGACCCCCCTCCCATTATGTGTCCCGACGGCCGAGCGCGCGGCCCCATTGAGCCCTTTGGAACGGAACGAAAAGAAGGCGCGAGCTACAGCTGTGACGTGGGCGTTGTTGTTCCATTCAACGCATTCGCCATGGCAACGGGGCCGAGGCCCTGGAAGCACGCGGACCCTCTCTCCTAAGGGCAGAGAGGCAGCTGGAAGTGTATCCTCAAGATCACTGCTTACTGCTTCCAATATCACATATTCTACTTCAGAAGCATGAACAAGTATTGGATTTTGAAGTTTTTTTTGTTTGGCAAAAAAATGTGGTCAATATCAATAAATGTGCACATTCTGAATTTTCTGAGCAACTTTTACGCACCGATTAAACCAATAAACATGACCCACTGACCCAGATCAATGTTATAAAAGTACTTTTAAAATAAACAATTTTTTCTGAGCTTGTTTAGTCTTCTCTGTGTTTACACCCGATGTCTCCCTCCACTTTGTACTCATGCATGCTGCAGGACTGCTAGTATTGTTGGGCAGAGTGATTGGGGTTTCTGTACAATCTCCCGTGACCAATGAGCGGGGTGCTGTCAGGGGTAACCACATCTGTCAACCCTTCTTGGCCAATAAAGAGCGGAGCGAGGCGGACCACAGGTGCGCGCCTCTGCGTCCCCTTGGCACAGCGCCCGGGAGATGCTGGAGAGAGACGCCGAGCTGCCCCGTGGCGCAAAAGAGTTACTGTCAAAGGCAGCCTCCTTTTAACTCCAGCTATCACTCTGGCTCCGATAGTTATGGCGACTGCAACATCCAACCACTACAGCGTCCTCACCACCCCCAGCAGCGCGCCGCCGCCGCACTCGGAGTCCGGGAGCATGCAGCAGGCGGCAGCGTACAGGGACGCGCACACCCTGCTCCAGAACGACTATAGCACATTACCGGGCGGTGGACATCCGCTCAGCCACGCGCACCAGTGGATCGCGGCGCTGTCTCACGGTGACAGCGGGGCGCCCTGGCCATCGAGTCCCCTCGGAGAGCAGGACGTGAAGCCCGTGCTGCACGACAGTGACCGAGAGGAGCTGCAGAACTCCAGCAGTCTGCAGCAGCAGCAGCAGCAACAGCGACACCCTCACCTCGCGCACCAGCAGGCGCATCACGACGCCAGAGCATGGCGAACCAGCACAGCCACCACGCACATCCCCGGTATGGCGACATCTGAGGGCCAGAGCCTGGTTTACTCCCAGTCCGGATTCGGGCTGATGCCAGGGGGAGAGCAAGGGGGGATGCACCACCACCCCCTGCGGGACGAGGACCACCACAGCCACAGCCCGCACCTCAGCGATCACGGAGGCGGCCCCGGGGCCCACCAGCAGTCTCTCTCACACCATCACGGGGGCCATCAGGATCACTCAGACGAGGACACGCCGACCTCCGACGAGTTAGAGCAGTTTGCCAAGCAGTTCAAGCAGCGACGCATCAAGCTGGGCTTCACCCAGGCGGACGTGGGGCTGGCTCTCGGGACGCTGTATGGAAACGTCTTTTCTCAGACCACCATTTGCAGGTTCGAGGCGCTTCAGCTCAGCTTCAAAAACATGTGTAAACTCAAGCCCTTGTTGAACAAGTGGCTGGAGGAGGCGGACTCCACCTCGGGGAGCCCCACGAGCCTGGATAAAATCGCAGCACAAGGACGGAAAAGGAAAAAGAGGACCTCCATCGAGGTGGGCGTCAAAGGGGCTTTAGAGAGCCATTTTCTCAAAAGTCCAAAACCAGGAGGAGTGGAGATCACCTCCCTGGCGGAGAGCCTGCAGCTGGAGAAGGAGGTGGTGAGGGTTTGGTTTTGTAACAGACGACAGAAGGAGAAGAGGATGACACCCGCTGGGGGACAGATACCAGGAGGAGAGGATATGTACGGGGACAGCCCTCCTCATCACGGAGGACAAACTCCTGTGCAGTGACCCCCAGACTATACTGTGAGCAAAACACGGACCCCTTAAGGAGGAATAATGCCTCCTTATTTGTTTGATTCTCTGTGCTGGACCACTCCAAGCTGGACCTCAGCCAGTTTAAATGTTGGACCCACGGACACACACAGTGGGGATATACAGTGGCACTCCAGCACGAAGAATGCGCAGAGCAGAGAGCTGTGTGGAGAGGGTTCATGCCGCGGAACTGCCGAGCATACTGGGATATGCGGCTGGTGTGTGCTAACCAAAAAAAATGACGAAAAACAGCGACATTGAAATGCTTTTCTAAACCTTAAACCGAGGCGCCAATGTTTCCTTATGTAATGTGTCATTAAAGAAAGGCAGAGTGGTAAGTGGACACAAGGTGTCCGCGGGGGGAACATTTAGAAACAAGCTCCGGGCTCGATGATAAGTCGCAGTCAGTGTGGGTAAATAAACGCCATCTTTCCATCATAACAAAAGCAACAGGGGTTCTTCCCAGCTCGTGGCTAGAGAGGGCTGCAATGGCAGACACCTGCTGTAGCCTACAATGTTAAAAAAATCAAGCCAATACCAGCCAACTGCTATTATTATTATTATTATTATTATTATTATTATTATTATTATTATTATTATTATTATTATTATTATTATTATTATTATTATACAATTCTCATTATGCATACACTTAATGTAATGCATTGATCGTAGTGTCAGCTGCATAATAATAATGTATTCTAATTGAATGTCCTTCCTTGAAAATGTCTTGCTTTTGGATAATAATTATAATATTAATAATAATAATAATAACAATAATTTGACCATACAGACTGGGCATTGGTTCACTTGAATGCTTTTCTTTCTGTGCAGACATCTCTGTGCGCCTGTTTACAGTGTGTTTTTGCTGTTTGTTATTTCCGTACTTTTCCAAAATGCTGTGAAGAGAAAGACCGAGACTGTCCGGCTGGAACACTCAAAGCAATCCAGCCCATTTTTGCCTTCCTTTTACAAAGAAGAACAAAACTGAATATATATAAACTGGTACCAGCTCTGGCCGCAGTGGCTAAACTACTACTGTGGGACGCATTCATCCAGACTATTTGTGGGATGTATTTCCTTTTTTTTGTATGGCTTCGTTCGTTTGAATGTTTGTTTGTTTGCTCAGTTTTTCTCTGTCAGTCTGTGCCAAAGCACAAACACAGACACGTGTTCTTGTGCCACTTAAACCCTGTGATTAATAACCTGGTCTGGTTATTGAGGGATGAACTCTCTCACTGAAATCTAAAGAAAATACAGAAACTCAAATCCAGCTGAAGGATGCAGATGAGTTAGAAGAACATGTTGTTATAATAATAACCAATAATGTGAATTTTTCACTTTTTACATGAGACGTTTTGCATTTGAGAAACTTTCTGATAAGGCCCAGTTTAAAATGTCAGAATCCCTTTTTTAATTAAGTCATCGTCAAATATTTAAAATGAAGCATTTTACGTTTTTTGTGATACGCTGTCCATTTTGCTTATTAAAGTGTACACATAAAAAAAATCGCCTTTATTTAAATATTCCCAATATTTATGTTATGTATAAACCCTTATTATAATTTAGACAAAATCACAGGAAATCCTTCAGCTGAATTTGAGTTTCTGAGGTGGAAAAAAAGAAAAATCAAAAACCAAAACAAAATATCATCGACCTGAAATCTGTGATCTAACGAAGAGGAAAAAGAAATCAACGATTGCACAATTTCTATATGCTTTTTTGTCATTAAATCGTATTTGTTTTATATAACACTGCAGTCTTTGCACGTTTATTGAGCCTGAAGAAAAGTCGCAACTCTCTCCTGGAGATAAGCTTTTCCTTTTAAATGATTTTTTCCTTGCACGCTCGCCATTCTAATTATGGATTTTATCAATCCGGCTCGGTTGCTTTAAAATGGTCCTTCAGCTGTTTCGGTTAAGTGTTTGTACCGCTGATCTGCACTGATACTGTTGTGAGGAGAGAGATCCGGGAAGATGCTCACACAGACAGTCAATAGGCTGAAATGGAAACAAACCGCAGCGTTAATTAATATTCTCATCAGGATAAATGTGGCAACTAATTGAGGATTGTCACGAGGCGACATGTATAACATCAAAACAATAAACGCTTTTGTGTTTGCACACGGGCCTGCAGAAGTTTTACACAACAAGAAGGCCTAACTACAGGTGTAGAGCAGAGGCTGATGCATTATAAACTATAGGCCTATTTGTGTGTGTGTGCGTGTGTGTGTGTGTGTGTGTGTGTGTGTGTGTGTGTGTGTGTGTGTGTGTGTGTGTGTGTGTGCGTGTGTGTGTGATCTGGCCTGCTACCTTTCCTTTACATCGTAAAATAATTAAAAACAACTAAAATTTCGATGTTCCAGAATATAATTTGAATACTTGTAGAAAATCTTAAATACACATGACATATAACATTTAAATATGGAGTGGAAATTAAAATAGTTTTTCAATTGGAGAGCTAAGAAGCTTGTGATTCAGTGTACATTTAAAAAGAGTATTATTGAGTCTCATTATTGTGTCAGACATTTTTACTATTTTATTCAGTAGGAACTATGTTAGAAAATGGGTTTCATATTCTTTCTTATGGTTGCTTTTACCCATGTCTAATATTTATTACATGTTTGGGCTGATCAGTGGCCAGATCAGAATCGGTCTTCTGACGCCCCCTAGTGGCTGCTGGAGGTTAAAAGCAGGCATGAGTTCCTGCTTCACCCTCAGTGAATGTTTTATTTTCATGTGACAATGCTCCTTTCTAAATGATACCTTATAACCAGGACAAAGCTATTTTATGAAATAATATTTGTATTTTACTCTGGAATTTAGGTTGTTTATCAAACCAATGGACACCTTCCAGTATGATGTCAGCATTTTATCTATTACAGTTCTTTATTACTCCACCATATACATGTTTTAATGAAATGTGAAGGGTTATGAAAGTTATTACAATTCACATGTCGGAAGATGAAATGCTTTAGTTAACAAATCTGTAATTAGATAATAAATAGATGGATCAGTAACAATTAAAGGTGGGGTATGTAATTAATTTCAGAAACCCTTTTTGTTGTATTCCATGGAATGCTCTTAACATCCCGATAGCAATGAATATATTAAATGCTTTGACAATAAATACATTTAAAAAATTCATCTGTGGAAGCCGTAATACTGTAAAAAGCACGACCAATCATTTTAGCCGGTCCGGCTAAAATAACTTGATGGCCTACCTGCCTGTCAGCCTTCCATCTGTGCACAAACTTATCTCGTGCCCTCATTGGTCATGTGCACGTTCATGTGTGTTGGAGGAGGGGCTCTGTAAGGAAGTCTGAAGGAAGTGGCAGATTTTTTCCGGTTGTGTATTTTCAAATTCTAGCGCACTCGAGCTGGTTTCTCCAAAATGACCTACCCCACCTTTAAAGGTAAAATGGAGACAAAGTAAAAACATTTTTGTATTTATCTTTAGCAGAGGATACAAATGTAAGTCTTAATAAAGAAACCTAATACATATATAATTGGATTATCTATTGTGGCCCTATATTATCGATGAACCAATAGAAATGCATTAATGTTCATCCCTTGCTGCAGCTAGTAAGTTGGAGTCAATATTTATTATTCAATATTTTGCAAATGTAGCTGTCGATTTACATTGTGTTTTAATAAGCTGGATCTGTAAAGTAACTAAAAACACAAGCCATCAAATATAAAAGTAACGGTTTACAAAAATAAGGTATGTTGTAAAGGAGACGAACTCTTAGTCAATTATTAGGCTATTTTTCAAAAAATCTGATCAAAGATGTGCATAAGATTTTTTTTTTAACATTTTAAACAAAAAGTATGAGTTTTTCTGGATGTGTGTGTGTGTGTGTGTGTGTGTGTGTGTGTGTGTGTGTGTGTGCATAAAACAGGTCTAGAACCAGCTCTCTAGGGGACCGTGTTGCCTGGATTCTGTCCTATCAGCAGGCGACCATCTGCCCTGCTCCCGGCCCTCACGCTCATACAGGCATCCTCTGCATTATTCATATTTTTACACAGACACACACACACGCACACGTTCACTCCACCATGCACACAATGCCCCTCCACACACACATCATGCACAGCCACGTGTCATACAAACACACACACAGCTGCTACCTCTGAAACTGTACGCGTCTCCGACTCACCAGAGATGGGTTTTATACTCGGGTGTCATTGTCAGTCCTGCATTGTCTCCTCCGTCTTGTGTGCTAGGAGATCTCTCAGGTATTCTGCACAATGGCCACAGAAATGCACCCAGCCAAAGTCATCACATATCATTCTGGACTGTTTGTCCCTCTCCCTTTTCATGCCCTTTCCTCACCAGAACCCACGCTCCGTCTCCACAGCGGCACTTTCTCTTTCTCTGCCCTCCTTTTTCTCTCTCCATTTCTCCAGAGCTCCTGCACAAGCACAAAGAAAAGGGCAGAGAGCTAATCTTCAGCATTGTTGGGTGGGCTTTGTATTGTCATATGGTAGCAGGCACGGAGGGACAGGGATTATGAGACGGATATATGCCAGAACATACCCACCTCCATGTGTCCATATGGCTTTTAATGCACATTTCACCACAATAATGCAAAAACAAGGGTAAAATACCACAGCAATATTTAATGAAATATTATGAGTAATCCATTGTCATACAGGTTTTTATCTCTAGGTAAAAGCTGTATGACAAGATTCTTATACATTCATAAGAATCTTTTTTTTTTATAAGTACAGAGCGATTTATTTTCATGTTCGCTTATTAATTAGAATTTCTGGCTCTCTTATTTACAGTTTGATGAGAATCCACAGGTGTTTCAGCACACACGACACCACAAGACAATATGGCTTCTATAGTCTACAAGCAGAAATCTCGATGAGAGCGACTGACCTCTGACCTCTGAGGAACACAGACAGATGAAGTTGCCTACAGAGGAAAACCTGTGCAGACAGTTTCCTGTTGTGGATGACAAAAGGACATCAGCTGATCCGAGCTCTCGCAGTCAGTTTAGTTATTTTACCTCAAAATGTCACGTTTCTTTTCTTTTAAGGTTTCAACTTGACATGAAGCTCTTTCTACTTGTGACAGTAACATTTGCAGCAGAATGAGGGACTTATATTCCAACACAATGACATCGATATTATGATATGAATATAACATTTACCACACATGATATCTCAAAACATGGACACGCATGCGATTACGGCAATGACTGGCAACGTGAAAATGCAGTTGTTTCAGTGGAAGTCAGAGAATCGACAGTATTGCACGAAAACACAAATCAATACACTTAATTGACTCGCCCAGAGAAGAGAAACAAGTGTAAACAGAAGAAGAAGAAAAAGTGCAAAATAATCAACAACATTTCAGTCGCTTAAGATCACAGCCACCATCGAAATCAATAAATATAAACAAGGAATGCATAATGAATTAATATGACATATAAAAACATAAGTCATATGCTGGCACTGATAAAAAAGTAAACTGCTGAAGGAGTCTGTTTGACTCAAGACGAGAGAAGGCAAGAGCATGCAGGCCAAGGTTTTTAAGACACAGAATGTCATCTTTCATTTGATTTATATTGTTGTATTAAAATAAATCTGCAGTGCGAACAGATACCATCGTCTTGCTTAAGGCTTTCATTTTGAAGCCGAAATGATTGATATTTTTTTATATTGTTACACGGAGAACAAAGAAGGGCTAATGACTCTCTAAAAACAATGATGCCAGCCTACGGAAGCCCATTGCAGCCAAACTGTTTCATGTGTTAAAGTGAAGTGTGTTCGTATAACAAGATATTTTCATGTTATAATAAGAAGCTTTTCTTGTTATATAACTAGAAAAGTTTGAAATGATAACGTGATAAGTTTGTCTTAATATCTTGTTAAAACTGAATTAAAACTTGAAACTCTTTAATCTTTTAATTAGTTGAAACTATACTGCTACATATAAATGCTTCTTGTGATCAACTCATAAATGTCATTTTTGTCTGATGCCGACTGATGCGTTTGAAAAGAAAATCGCAAACATTATTTAGGCCAATATTTAATTATTATAAACCCTGAAAAACGCTTTAAATTGTAACTCCTTAATGTAAAGCTCCATAATAAAAGAGTTGTAACCAAGCTTTGTTTTCAGCAAGATATTTTTCAGTTGAATTAAACTCACCAGTGCCCTCTAGTGGAGAAAAACTATGTTAAACCTATTTTTGGCATATCTGTACTGCACCTTTTTGAGACACTTTATGCCAATACAAATACTGTAAATATCTGCATTAAGGCCTGGTCACACTGGCATATAAAGACATTTCTATCAATTCATATTGCAAAGTAAAATTGACAACGTGAAACAATAAGGTGTGCTCGGGAGGAAAGGTTTCGGCTGTGAAACGTCACCAATGTGCCGTCATTCACACACAGAGTGACTCACAAGCTAACACACTGCATACCCCACGCTTGCATCCATATTGACACACAATATGTTGGTATGTGCATTTGCTGAGTGACAAACACACATAGAACCTGCGCCGAACCACCACACACCGAAAACAACTCGTATAACATTAACTTGCATCTGCTCTGTTATTGCTTCACATGTTTTCTGAGCAATCCATCATTCTGATTCAGAGAGTCTCCGTAACAAAACCATAACTGCTAAACAAAAAAAGAAGTACTTTAACAGGATCAATTGGCTACATCCGAGGCACCGGAGAACAAACTTCTAATTGAACGAATAAGCCAGCTAACACATGAAGACAACATCCTCAAAGTGTTCAAAGGGAGATTTTCATTGGCAAGGTCAAGCCATGCACTTTAATTCAAAAGATCTATTGCGTCTATTTCTACATGATTGTTTAACTGGCTCTCAATGCTTGAATGCAGGTTAAAATGACCTTAAGCTACTCTTCATGACAATATATGTCGTCCCTTACTCTTCTAACGCAGGGAAAAATGTTCCTTTTTGGCAAAAATAATTGTCTAAATAAGACAAAAACGATAAGTGTTAATGGCAGATTGCACTATTTAAATACGGGCAGCAGGCATTACTGTCATATCGCAAGTGTGTAGACGGATACAGCACAGGAGGTCACAGGGCGGCTCACACTGATCCTGGACCAGCAGAGTGTATTCATGTAGACTACTACAAGACACTTTGAGTCATTGTGTCCGACACAGAGAAGAAACACCTACAGTATTTACACCGTATGACAGAGGGGGTGACTCTATATATGCAGGCTATCTATACTATGTATACTCATATATATTATATCTAATAAATCTGCTCCGTTTATATATTTACACTGAATTGTATCCATTCACATGAATGTCTGTACAGTTAGTCGATGTCATATCAATACAAGGCGTTTAGGGTTCAGTTAGTCAAACACACACAAGGCTGGACGGTGCAAGTTGCTACGAGGGACGACGGAGGGGGGGGGGTCAACACATTTTGTTGCCATGGAGACCTGACAACAAGTAGGAGTTGTCACTGCGGATGACCACGTGGAGGAGTTTCTCAGCAGGGCGTCATTTACTCCTGACTTTTGAATCCTGTTCTTCTTCTCTTTCCTCCTACTCATACTTTCTTCTTCTCTTCCTTTGTTCTGATCCTTCCTCCACTCAACTCAACGTCCTCAAACTTCTCCACTGACACAGGAGACGCCAGCTCTCCTCCCCAGAGGTTTTCTGTTCAGAGGAAGTGGGGCATGTGTACAGGTGGGACGCAGCTCCCTCCCTGTGGTGTGAGCACTATCTAGTGTGTTTCTACACGTGGGTGTTTCGTCAACACTTGTCCATTTCAGAGCACTCCGTGTCCATGTCCGAGTCATACAGCGAGACACCTGTAGGGTCGCTGTCGGGAGACAAAGGGTCCTTTGGCGAGTGCGTTTGTGAAGTGTGCGTGTGTGTGTCGTCTTGGAAGGTGTCCGTGCCGGAGTACAGGCCCAGGTCGGCGAGTTTGGAGCTGCTGTCCTCGGAGGTGTCGCTGTAGCAGAAGTCCTCCAGGTCCACGAACCACTCGGGCCAGAATCGCCGGCGGATGCGCTCGCAGTACATGGCCAGGTTGATGAGCTCACCTGCAGGAGGACAGACAGCCGAGTGTCACAGTCAAAGTCAACTTCATTGTCAATCTTTCAGTTTGTGTGTACAGACAGAGAGATCGAAATACTGTTTCCCACAATCCCGAGGAAATAAAAAATACAAATATATATAAAAATATGTATAAAAAAATATATACACAATCAACAGACACATTTATACATATGCACACATTAAAGTCATAAATAAAAGCACAACAATCAATAAATAGAAAATAAGAAGCTCTGAGTCATTTCATATTGAAGAACAAAACACTACTACCTGCCTTTATAAGTCTATTTGCTAGGACTTTGACAGATAAAGTCTATCTCCATTCAAAAATGTGTTTTTCACTGTGTAGAGACAGTTACAAACGTACCTGATGTCTTAATTATGTTGACCTTAAAGCATTAACACTCGATCGAAAAATCGATTTATGAAGAGTGTTATGTTTTATACTTTCTTCATACTCTATGTTGTAGATTCCTATTTTGTTGAACTCACCTTTGATCAGATGCTCTGGGCGAGTTCCCGGTAGCGTCCACATAGCAGGGGCCAGGTGACTGAACACTGCAGCGTCTACTGTAGAAAGCTTGGAGCCCATAAGATACTTCTTATCACCTTAGTGAGCACACAGAGAAACATATATGTCAAATAACCAGGCACATTTCAAATCCATGTTTAGACGTTTTCATTCAAAATAAAAAGGCACTTATTCACATTCTTGTTGAGCTATACACATAAGGCTTTATACCATGCTCATGTCAGTATGTTATGTATAAAACCAGAAGTTGGTTAGCTTAGCTTAGCATACATATTGAATACAGGGGAAAACAGTTAGTCTGACCCTGTCCATACATACATTTTTACAGACAATGTTTACACTAGAAGAAGCTGAAAAGGAAAAAAGATCCCTTCTGGCCACACAGTAAAATGTATCATAGATCAATTGACACCTTAAGGGTTATAAAGCTTTAACTTTTGCAAGTCTTTTAAAGGTCACCTATCATGCTATTTTTAGTCTCAGATATATAAAAATATATAAAAAACATGTCTATGAAGTGTTTTGCTCAAAATACCAAACAGATCACCCATTCTAGCCATGCCTCATATCCCTCTATTTCACTTCCTGTTTCAAAAGTGCTGATTTTGGTATAAAGCTTTTTTTTTTTAAAGGGGCGGAGCTTATGCCTGCTCATGCTGGAGATTCTACCGGCAGATACTGCCGTGATGAAACGCTATATCATGGATTATCAAGGATTATTTCTGAAACAGTATGGAGCTCAAAGGCTTTCTCTCTTGCCGGTTATACCACAAGGTGAGTTCCTTTTTATTTCCTGCTTCTTCCCACACATGCTCTATCCAGTCCAGGTTAGCTGTAGAGAGTGTTAGCGAGGCTATATGTAAACACCGACCATATTACGTCCAAAACAGTCGGGCATTGTTTCTGATAGCAACGTTTCTGATAGGGCCGTGGGTCCACATTACCGATATTACGTCATATCGGACGCAAATCTGGATCAGCTCCGTTGTACCCCCGTTTTTAGAGATTTGGGTACGGAGGAAAAGAGAGAGGGTTTTATTTTCTGACGCTGCGTGAGTTCCCTGACACACCGGGGACACATATTTATGTATAAAAGACATCAAAAAGTGCATTTTGCATGATAGGTCCCCTTTAATGGAACAACACTTCCCACCAAAGCTCTACTACATGCTCTCGGATCTGTCTCTATTAAATCTCCTATTACAAACTGCCAAACGTTGTGTATTGATTATAGACTGCAATGCTACCATTTCACCACAGCAGGTCAGTGTTGTGCTGTTATTTGACAAGTACAAACATGATGCTACTGGTTATAGTTCTCATGGCACACATTGAGAAGCCATTGCAACTGTTTCATTTAGCCAATAAAGCTGTTGATCCGCTTGCAGGGGAATTATATGGAGTATGAATAAGATAGCTTTTATAGCTTTCATTTTTTTTACTTTAATAACATCAACCTTTCTCCAAATCTCGAAAGTCCCTTCACATGGCTAAATGTACTGTATGTTACTGTCATTTTTAGGGTAACATCATCTTTATTCTTCAAAAAAACATCCCCCAGTCAATCATGAAAACCCCCACTGATACATTATTTAGATTCTGATCTCAATACAAATATGAGCTCACCTAGTAAAGTGGCCAGGGTGCGCATGTCCTTCTCCATCAGGGCGTAGACCTCGTCCTCGGAGAAGCGTCCGATCCCGTGGCCGTACATCTCCCTCTTGACGATCCCCCCCGTCAGGTGACTTAGGATCCATTTGAGCAGGTCGCTCAGCGGCCCGCTCACTGACAGCATCTTCTGAGTCTCCTCCAGGTTGTCCACCCACTGGCAGTAAGCTATGGTCCTGCAACACAAACACACATGTGGTTCAGACATAATGCCTTTGTTGTTACGAAATAAAAAGCCACAACATTTGAATGATTTCTGTATTGTTATTGCTTACATTTTTACATGTTGTAGAGTCTCAGAGCCTAATGGTTAACACTTATATTAATGCTGATGCATTTGTATGAAACCAAATATTAGCATAGTCTGGTTTAAAAAAAAGGATTACTACAATTTGAAGGAGGGGCTTTAGACTGAAAGCTTGATATAATGAAATGCATTATTTTATGCTGTTATGTTATGGGTTTCAAAAGGGATATTTTTGTTCCTAAGGGTCAGACTTTCTGTATTTTTGCTAAACAGTTTGTTATGGAAGCTGAGGTTGAACTTCCAAAAATCAAATGAAAAGCACAGGCGAAATGAATAGAAAATTAAAAAGCGAATAAACGAGCCAAGTGAGGTACAAGGATTGAAAGAAATGTTGATGATTAATATTCCACATTCCATATATAACTTGAGTGGACCCTCACCAGTAGAAATGCTCCTCCACCATCTTGGTGATGGCGCGGGACACAGCCTTCTCCTGCGGCGTCAGGCTCTTGTTGAGGCTCACGCCCAGCCGCTCCTCCAGGTAGTCGATGATGAACTCGGTCCCAAACACCTGCTCCTGGTTGTACTCGATCCACGGCATCTTTCCCTGTGGTGAAAGCTTCCCATCAAAGTAGTTCTGCGAGACAAAAGGGATTCAGGAGAGAAGACACAGAAAATAAAAACAGAGAATAGACGTGGTGATTAGCATTAGGTCAATACAATTGGAATTGGATAAAGAAAAGCATTTGTTGCTCCACACAGAGAGAAGAGTAAAGAGGAGATAGTCTGTGTGAATTACTTTAAATTGTGGGTAAGGGTAGATAGCCCCCATTGTTCTGTGACCTGTCAATCATCAAACCGGGGGTCATATTTCATTATGTGTTCATTTTTATCTGAAGTTGTACCCATGGATGTATAAAGAATAGTTCTACCGCTTCCGGCCACAATCTTGATTCTGATTGGCCAGAAGACTCGAAAAAACATCAGCAAAGATGTTTTATTGAGAAGATGATCACTACGTGACAGAAGTTTTCAAAACCATTTATGGTCTCCGGTACTTCCAGTCCAACGCCTACTGCATGCACAGCGTTAGGAAATCGGGCCTTCAAAATAAAAGTTTGACTTTTTTCCCAAATAATTTTTTTTTTTTTTTTTTTTTCAATTTTTATTTCTTCACTCACACATCTGCGACCCACTCGAAACGGGTCCGCGACCCACTTTTGGGTCACAACCCATCAGTTGAGAACCACTGCCTTAAAAGAACCACAGTGACAGTAGCAACAGAGACTCAGAGTTGGAAAATAGTTGATCACAGCAAAGGATTCATTCATTTTCACACTCTATAAACTCACACCATGAGAGAGTCACTTTAGGAGAATCAAAGACAAACAGGTGAAGTAGTATTTCAGATAGATAACCACAGCTGTACCTGGTAGGGCAGGTCCACCATGCGGAGGTAGGTCTCCATCTTAAGGCAGAAGGGGGACAGGGACGGGACGCCAGATTTGGGCCTGGAGAACTGGTGGAGTATGATGGCATCTTTAGAGTCCAGCTCTTCCTCCTTTCTGTGTGGAGGACAGAAAAACAGAGCTGTAGATCATGCAGAAGAGGCTCAACAACATTAACAAACAAAACATGTTTATGTGTTTGTGTTTATACTTTGAGGAAACATTATTCTGTTTACAGTCAGATTTAAGGTAACTTCAAATTAGGGACAAAAAAACACATCAACAAAATACAAATTAGATTACAGGGTTAGGTTTTACGTTAGGTTTCTCCTTTCTAGTGGTAATGGATAGACCTGCAGGGTCTTATTCTTTTCAATAATAAATAAATATAATAATCTGATAATTGTTCAGATTATTGGATTTATCATTTGAAGGAAAGAATGTCACAACATTTGGAAAAAAGTCTATTGAATTATTTTGCAGTTTAGGTGACATCTTGTAATGTCCAAACATATTAATTTGACTATTACAGAGAACTAACAGCCAGCACATTTTCACATTTAGAACCAGAATAGAGACTGTAAACAGTGAAGCTGCTTAAAACATTACAACCGATAAATATCTTATCAACAGAATCATTTTGTGTGCAGCGATTTATCAGGAATTTGACTGATTACTTAAACTCTACTAAAGGCTAAAGCAAGGCTAGGCAGGCATGATCACATACCAGCCAACTACCCTGAGAATTTGTTAGGACATTTGCAACCCTTAAGTATAATATCAATTTAAGAAGGTCCTGCATTATATATGTATTCATTGCGTCTGTTATGTTGGTGGTTACATGGTTTATTATTTCCCCATCATATAATCTAAAAATTCCACAAATTAAGTTTTACTCCCAGTGAACAGTCAAGTAACAGGTGGTACTGAAACTACTCTCACATATTTATATTAAGCCAATTAGCTTAGATTAGCATTATGACTGGAAAAAGGAAGACATTGCTAACCTGGCTTTGTCTACCAGTCACTAAATCCATCTATCAGCACTTTTAATACACTTTCAAAAAACAACTCAAACACCATCCTTTCACTCGGGCCTTTGGCCTCAGCTAAAATGCAGTACCCAGCAACCTGTTATTTTGTTGTTTTGTTTCCCATTGTAAAGCGTACTTGGGTCTCTTGAAAGGCGCTATAAAAATTGAAATTATTATTATTATTATTATTATTAACGTGTTAATGTCAAATATAACGTGGTAGAGTTTACAGTATGTCACTTTAACCTTTCAAAACCCCAATGCAAATGTGTGATTGTATAGGGGTCGGACCATTTCTTGGCCTGTGACTTCCTGTACCCTCTGGTGTAATGTCAAAGAGCTAGGCTAGATGTTTCCCTGTTTCCATTGTTTATGCTAAGCTAACCTGTGTGGTCAAATAGTGTGCAGTGAATAAATCCAATTATCCGCAACCTCCCATGAGTGATTGTCAGCCCCTGGGCTGTTTACACCGGCCAAGGGAGAAACTGCAGTGTCAAAACAATGCATCACACCCTCATGAAGGATTATGGTGCATCGACATGGATACCGTTGGAGGCTACTTCACGGACAAGGGCAGTGGACCCTGCAATTGGCAATTAATTCATGTGTGCACAATGCAGAATGAACGGAAGCTGTCCTGTGTGAAGTGCTGAAACCTAAAAACAAGCAGCCTCAGAGGAGAGGAGCTGTCTATTGCAGCATGGTGCTGAAATGCATACTCTCTTTAAAGGGGCTGCTTTTGGTGCAATAAAATGACGAGGGTCCCATACAATGAATCATAGCATAACAGTGAGGGACACAGCTTTAATTGTTAACGTCAGGCAGAACCAAAACAAGCGAGAAACATGACCCAAAAAGCTGGCCTGCCACCCTGTATGACCTCCATCATAATGGGTTTTTAACTGCACCACAAACAGCCTGCTATCTCCGTATGAAAATAGACCCAGAATAAATGGCAGCTATGGGTATACTGGTATAATGTATGTAGGGCCTTCACACCACAATGTCATCATTTACATTTTCACAGCGAGGCTTCATTGATCGTCAATGACATGTGTCTATTTTGTTATTGACTGTGTTTTGCTTGTTCGTTCGTCAACAACAGTGGGCCTGGACTGCATGTAATCCGAGCTATTTTTTTTTTAAAGGACAACATCCTAAAACCCTTATTCAAACAAATAATAAAGAAAAATACATTCATATGGATAATTTGAAGGCACCATAATCTTGTCTGACCGGTGAATAACCTATGTATGGGGCTTAGGGTTTACTTTTACATATAACTGCAGTGCTTTAGACTGAAACCATACACCGGAACGTGCGTATGGAGGGGGGGGGGGGGTCACAATACAAATTACACAAGATGAACCTATGTCGCCTCGTCCTTGAGATACATTGAAAGCGACCCCCTGTCAGAGTCTATTATGTCAATTCATGTTGCAATGGGAGTGTTAGAAATAGGCCTACAGACTAACCTCTAATAAACAACATAGGAAATAAGCAATTGTCCTTTTGTAAATAGGAAACGCGAAATACAAAGAGTGACCTTTGCCGTATAGGTCGCTCGCCATTTGACCAATCCACAACGAAAAGCCAATACATAAAGATAATGTTTTAATGTGTGTGCTGGGATATGGAGATGGAGATGGAGTTACGTTACATCACAATCCACCCACTCACGACTTCTTATTCTCCACTGACTCCGCTCGTTTACCCCGCCCAGCCTGACGACATTAAGTATTATCAAACCACAGAAATAATACAGCAGATCTGGGATATTTGGAGTGAAACACGAACAGAATAACATCAACACAGTCTGAATGTGGAGTGTGGATTAAGGTGACCCCTCTGTCCCCCCTCTCTGGTTGTGTTGTCGGTACCTGATGGCCAGCAGTTCGTGCAGCAGATAGGCAGCGGCAGCCAGCAGAGCTCCTCCGGTCAAATAAAGCGTCTTTCGCCACCACGAGTCCGAGCCCAACGCTGACATGATCCCGCCGTAGTCCTGCAGAGGGTAGGCGATGATGTACCCATAAAACGAGAGCTGCTCATCGGAGCCCAGCAGGCCGGAAGAGAAGCTCTGGTTCTGGCCAAGATCAACCACACAAGATCGCGTCCAGGCAAACCCGACGCGCCAGTACATGCTCTCTGTCTCCGGCCACTTTCCGCCTCACTCTGGCAGCTCGGGGCTTCATCAGCGGGGGCTTCATGGGTGCAGGGGGGTGCAGGTGCAGGACGACTGGAAGAGGAACGGTCGACTGGACGCAAGCGGCCCGCCCGGAGCTTGTCCCCGCAGCGGGGTCGACATCCTCCGCAGCCCGCTCGGAGTCGGAGCTCGCTGGATGAGTGACAAGTGAACAAAGCTTCCGGTGGGGTCTTTCAAAAATAAATGTCCATCATGCGTTGCAACATTTGAGAATAACAACATTCCCTGAAGTGTGGACTACTAATATTTAGCTACTAGGGCCAAAAACTACTGAGACCTCAAATAATAACTTATAGCCAAACACAACACAAAATAGGCATGGAAATGTAGGCTAACTAAAAAGCATAAAAACATATTAATACATAGCAAAGAAAGTAGGCCTAACTGATTTTGGGTTAGCTATGAGCAAAGGCAGTTGAAAATATCAAAACAAAATTATACCCTATTCGAATAGCAAAAATCCCCCCAAGAAACACACAGAACAGCACCAATAAAGCTTCCCCAAATATTGAGGATTCATATCTCTGGGGGATACACATTTTTTCCATTGGCTGTGGCACAAGTGTTACACATCTATTTAGTTTAAAATGTATTCACCCATAAGGCACTTATAATACACTATCCATTCATTGATGTGTGTCAAACTGTCTTCCATAAATAAGACCAACCAATGTATCTCTACAGTTTCGCATTTAGCTCCTAAATCTGTCAGATGATCCATCTTGTTTTAGTTTATCTCTCCTATAGTAAAAACAAAAATATGATTTTATTTTGAAGGAAAAAGGCTTCCGGTAGAGTTGACGTTTTTCTCTCCACGCAGCTAACGTGACGTCACGAGGACAGGCTGTACCCATGGTACAAACACCTAGAGGCGACAACAGTAAACACACCTGTTTTTCATGTAATGTTTTCTTAACCAACATGATACAATTTAAAATGTATTTTGTGTAGTATGCCCACTTTAACTCCCATTGCTCTGTTATTACAAATATAGACTTTGTCTTGTCCAAAATGATCTGCAACATGTTGGGTGTTCTTTGTTTTTACCACTAGGGGTCCTACCACAGCCTCTGTGACATTGAAGTTAGGTAATGGGACTGAAGAGGGATTTTGTAACATGCTGGAAGATTCCTCAAAGTCCAGCTTGAACAACATTGAACGACTTTTGCACACCATACATTTTTATTACCATAAAGGATCTTCAAACAAAGACTTTCAAGTAATACCATTTTGGGCACTCTTTTTACCAGAACTAATAAGATTATTTAGGTTTGGTGAAGCCCTTTACATTTTCACACTCATTCCCTAGTGAACAGTCATGTAACAGATGGAGCTGCTGAGGGGGAGGAAAATGCCAGAGGGCAAAGCGGAGCTGAATCCAACTTTCCCCGGTGGCTTTTTGTCTCCTTCACTCAGTATGAGAAAATGGCATTTAACAGGTTTTGGTACCCTTTCCGTTGTTATTCTAATGGTTACAAAATGAAGTGTACAGTAAGCCATTGAGGAAAGATTTGAAGATACACCCACACATTGCAAAAACATCCATCCCTCAAATGCATTTAACAGCGACAATGTGCTTGTATGAAGGTTTCTTGAGTTACCAGCAGCTTTCATTTTGTAAGGCTTTCAAGCACCTTGTTCCGAGGACAGCCACACAAACTCCTGTTGTATTATATCACAAAAATATAGACACCTACAGGTATATCCACACATCAGTTTCCACAATTATTGATGAACTAGTTGGCAGATTTTAAAAAGAAAGACAAATCTAGAACGATTGCATCAAAACAAATCTCAGCAGTTAAAAAAAGAAAGGGCAATTCTTTGACGAATTACAAACAAAAGTTTTACGAAATAGAACTTTATGCAAACACATTATTTTACAGCTAAAGAAGAGTAAAAGAAAAATAATTACAATAAAATAAGATTTGTTGAAAAACAATATCATGACAGTGAAATAAAAGGGGCCACTTTTATATCAAGCACTAGCACAAAGCTAAACAAGCTCATGATTTCCATTTCATTTTCCTTAATGAAGCCAAAACATAAGATGAAATAAATGAATAGAATTATAAAGGACATTTACAAAAGAGAAGGGGGAATGGGACGAAGGAGGTGGAGTTGTCATGATTCAGAGAGTTTATTATAACCACTAAGAGATACCTGTCTTGGGCTTTTTACTGCTGTAGTTCATGATCAACTAGCAGAGACCTCACAGGGCAGCGGCATCCAATCAGATCGCAGTTACACAGGGGGATAACCAATCAGATCCACACAGGATTAAATCATCTTACAGAGAAGACAGCTAAAGTCCCCACACACACACTCACACAGCACTTTTGATCAAGTATTCTCAAATCCCACAGAGCTCCATGAGAGGACTCGCTCCTCGGGTCTGTTCAAGGATGTCAGGATCATCACAATGACATTAAAGCAGGTTTCCCCCACATCCCCCCCCCCCCCCCCCCCTCCCCATCCCCTCCAAATGTTCCTCAGTTTTAATTCAAGTCAGGAGCAGAGTACAAAGTCTCCTCGAGACGAAACTGCTGTCCCAGATCGTCCGCTTGCTGGAGGCATTTCAGCGTCTGCTCACTCTATCCATTCACCCATTATGCTCAGAGAAGGGGAAACATGAGCACGTGGCTCTCAGAGTTTGTTGGTCGAAGCACCACAACATCGCAAAGTTTGTGCCGTGCAACATTTTGAAAAAAAGATCCACCCCCTCACTACCGTCAACATTATGGATTCCAACCGACGTGATGACGCTAAGACTGGCTGTAGGAGTTGCTTTGGTTCCCATTTGAGCTCTGGTCACTCTCACTGTATAAGACATACGGAGAAAAGTTGGGAGGAAATGATTACATACAAGTCATTAAGATAAAGTACAACAAGCACAAATGCAACAACATTTGGGATCTTAACTACTTCTATTATAACTTTATTGTAAAGCACAAAGCAACTTTTGAAACTTGTGTATGGTGCTGTATAGACAACGTTAATATAACTATTATAATTTGTCTAATTTGGCATTTGCAATGTAGTTGTATAATGTTACTCTGACACCAGGTAAATGCAGCTTTATGTTTAAGCGTGGTAACAAATATTTACTATACTTAATTTAATTTATAAAGCCAAATTTTAAAAAGAAATGTATGTACTAGGACTATACGAGTCAGGCTTACCTGTTGGGGGGAGGTTTGGGTTTGGGCATCTTGTTTATCACCGCAGCTATCTCTTTCCTGTCGTCAAAGTTTTTCCACTGGTCATAAAGCTTCAGGATGACACGGATGATCTCCAGGATCTTGACAGAAAACACACAAAAACAGAAGTCAGCTTGTGTGGATCCATAAGTTCCTGTTAGTATTGTACAAGGATGTTTATTAAACGGCTCCTAATTCCAGACCCAAGTTCAGAGTGGCACAGTCAGGCTCAAATGGTTATATATAAATAGATGATAGAAGATAATTTAGGAAGTATATGATCAGTCGATTTTCTGTCTATTTGAAATTCCTAAACCCCTATGGAATTGTTTATTTGTGTGTGATTATTAGGCCAAGGCACTTAAATGTGTTTGTAAACCGTCAGCAGGAAGCCAGACTGTGGCTACAGAAGTAGTAGAAAGGCAAAACAGTGGCCAAAGTTAAATGTGCTAACCTTTTACAAAAAATAAATGAAATTCTGCAACACAGACAAACTGATTTGATCCAACGTATAAACAAACCTGTGGCAGACAACTCAGCTTAACCTTGTTCTGTATGAATCATTAACTGGGAATAACAGATGAGTAACTTAGAAGTGAGAGGTTGCATCTTTTTCTCTTAAAGGGATGGTTTGACATTTTTTCATTCAGGGTGTTTATTCATCTTACCCAGTGACAGTTTCTAGAAGTGTCATGGACAAATATTAGTACAGATCTTACAATATTTAAAAAGGAGTTTTTTGACTGAAGGCATTCTTACTTTGTCCATGTCCACAGAGAGCTCTGCGAACCACTGCCTGGCGTCTTTCTGCTGCACCACACAGGCCACATGCAGACAGGCTGAGGGAGGAAGAGAGCCGGCCATGTTACATCTAATAAACCTTACTTTAAGTCAGTCACTGCATTAAAAAGCTGCGATAAGGAAACACATGAGGTTGAATCTTACCCAAGGCGATCATGAAGGGAGGGTAGAGCAGACACAGATCCGTCCTGTACGTGTCGTTCACTATTCGCCTGGTTCAGAGAGAACAACAGACACTGAGTGAGCCTATCACAACAGCTACATCTGGTATTAAAGGTCCCCTATTATAGTGTTTTTCATCAATATATTATAGGACCCAGATATACACAAAACATGTGTCTGAAGTGTTTGGCTGAAATACCAAACAGATTGTGCATTGTAGCATCCCATAAACCCCTCTGTTTCAGCCCTGTTTCAAAAGTGCTGATTCTCTGTCTGTTACTTTAGATGAAAATAAGGAGCCACTCCCCACGCCCCTCTGAGAGATATTTGGTTATAAAGAACACAATGGTGCTCTAGGAGGAGATTCAGGTGATAAGGTGGGGGGGGGGGTTTACCTTGGTTGGTGATTGGCTAATGGTAACACAAGCCAAACAATCGTTATGACATCATAAAGTGGCCAAAATCTGATCAGCTCATTTTCAGACAGGTTTATATATAAATGGATCAGGACAAAAAGTGAGCGAATCGTTTTTCCTGAAACTTTCAGAATCTCTTTACACAGAGGGGACACATGTTTATGTATAAAATACAGGAAAAAGTGGATTTTGCATAATAGGTGACCTTTAAAGTGTGTTAAAAGAGAAGGATTAATGAACACAGAGGGCATCGTACCAGGCCAGGGGCAGCAGCATGTCCTCCTGTCCCATGTCCTGCACGTACTGCAGCAGGGGTCTGTAAGGGTGGTACACGATCAGGCAGCAGTCCTGAAAAAAGATTAGATCTTCAATAAGAACCCAATATTCAAGCAAAACACAACCTACAGTACAGCAGCAGTGATAAAAAGATATTTCCACTCACCATCAACTCCAGAAGGTAGAACTCACATTCTAGTATCTGTAAAGACACAATTTAAAACTTAATTTAACATATCAGCTAAACCGACTTCAATGCTTGAAAGAAACACAGATGTCAATTTCTCATAGTCAACAACACTTTGACTGAATGACGGATGAAAACAATACTTCAAAATCAATAAGAATGCCTCATTGGGTGGTTTATTATGTTTCATTCATTGAGTGCAGTGCATTGTTTAAAAGAGGCTTTCATCCCTCCCATTCTATTGTTTTGTGGGTCAGCCTGCGTGAATTGGCTCTTTAAAGATGACTGTTCAACAAAAAATGACATAGAAAAAATGTACAATATTTACGCATTCTATTTTGATTTACTTGGGAATAGATGAATAACGTTCAAAACTTGCAACAACATTCCCAAACTACACTTTAATTCAATAACTTTTCAAGGTACAAGAAAACAAGCACTTCCAGACTTAAAGTGTTTTTGTCACATTTAAATTGTTACTATAAATGCAATTGCAAAAATGTTGAAAATGTATTTATACTCAAAGCAATGAATGTATTTTGACACTTTGTTTACTTTAACAGCTATTCATATTCATTTTAAATGTATGTTTTGATCATGCTGAGCTGCCTCTCTATTAACACTCTTTACGCGCTTCTATTGGTTAGCACTCCAACACATTGTACGTGATAAGGGGCGGTACATCTTTGAGCGGTTTACCAATCACAACAGAGCCGGCCAGCTAACCAATCAGAGCAGCCTGGGCTCTGGTTTCAGACAGAGGGTGAAAAGAGGTGTTGCAGCACAGGCAGTATGAGAAAAAGAAAGAGCTTTTTGAACATTTGAATGTTGAAAAGTTCATGAATTGAAAATAGGTCACAGTAAAGGCACAAAATACAAATATGAACTTTAAAGTGAGCATAATAGGGACCCTTTAAAACACAGACTTTGTATTACTCTAAATGTTGTCACGGAGCATGACTTTCAGAGATATTACTTAATCTTTCAAACAGACACTATGTATGTTATTGTTTGATTACCCGTTTGTCACCGTGCCACGACTGCTATTACTTTGTCTGCAGGTTGAATATGATAAATGATGTGTAGAAGTTGCAGCACCCCGCTAACTCCTTCTCTGCTGTGTGAGCCACTCCCTATAAATAATAGTTTACACCGCTTTCAGACAGGCAGCGTGTGTCAGAACAGCTGGGGTGACGTTCTCGCAACTGAGTGAAGATGCTGGACAATAAAATCCTGACGGGGGACACCACTTGACTCCACAGTGAGAAATGCTGCGCAGAATTAATGCGTGCTCGCGGGTAGCCGTGGTCGAAGCCGTGTCACACAGCCATTATATTTTTATCAGAGATTTGCAAACAATAGTTGTGGAATGTCACGTACTGATAGACACTGACATGGCAACACTGTGACAGAGTGTAAGGAGCTCCTGGAATGCTGCTATGTAGCACAGCAGTGCATAAATAACTGTGCAGAGGAAGCAGGAACACAATCAGGTGGTTGATTCATATCACAGCTGATACAATAGTACATTTGAGTGGTTTATAGGAATACTTCACCATAATTACAATTTGTATATTAATAACTCTCACTGTGTGACCTAAAATGTTTGAATAAAACATTTAAAAAAAACTTAGAATAGTCTTGATGAATTGAAGTAAATGAGGGCCACATTTAACAACAGCAAAACTATATCAAACATCTGTTTACACATGTTTGCAGTACAACCCAAGACTAATTTACCCAGTTATATGCAAACTACTTCCCAAACACATGAATAATCACCTTACTAATTGAGACTAGTAATGCAGTGTGTATTAATATCATGTTTGATATAGGTTTGCTTTTGTTAAAAGCACCCGCATAGACTTGAATTCATCGAACAAATGCCTCTGTTCTTTTGATTCTTCGTTCACCCTGAAGGCATGTAAGAAAAATAATGTTTCCTTCACAAATGTAAGGTTACACAGGGTAAGTCATTGGAATAAAAAACATAATTTTGGGGGTGAGGTATTGTTTAATTTTGTTGAATTAAATCGTTCTTAATTTTGCTTTGTTTTAGCATGGGCACACTACACTTAAGTATGAAACACTTAGCTCAACTCCGCTCGCTCGCTCGCTGACCCTTCCTCAAACTTTGTTAGTGTCCTGTTCTTCCCTCAATCCCAAACACACACTTGGACACTATAATTACTCACGTCTTTGTCACTGTGTTATTAGACTGCTGACATGACTTTAGCTGTCTTCATTACGTTGCTACATGTAATGAAATGTATTCCTAATGCTAGTTTTTGTGTCACATTTAGTGCAAAATGCTCTGATTAACAGCATCTAAATGCCTTAAAAGTAAACTGTTAGAGAGATTGTACTTACATGATTCATTCTGTACTGGAACTCCTTTGGAAAGGCATAGGAAAATCTTGTTTTCACTGTTACAAAAAAACAAAAACATGATTATACCGTCTCCACTGCAGACTATCTATAACTTTTTGATATTTGTAATATTTACAAGTTTAAAATATGTTGCTCAACAGGGCGACTTACACACAGATGTTGCTGCAGATATCAGCCTGGTATTGGACACAACTCCAAATTCCTGAAAGGACAGAACGGTTTGAATTGAGATCAGATGGGTAGAGCACGTAAATAACAGGAGCTTCTACTTTACTGGTATATCATTATCATCTCACTGGCATCACATCAACTTCCATACCTCGACTTTAGAAGCCAGAAAAACACAAGTAGGAGCCATGAGCACGGGATCAATACTTTTAAGGGAATACCTGCAAGTAGGAAGAGATTAAGGTGTGTTAACGTTGTACAAGTAGGTTTTAGCCATAAAATGCAGAGGAGATTAGGTTACGCTGATGATCTATACAAGGTACAAAATGCATTATACATTAAGTGAAAGATGAACTGTGTGCACAAACTCAAGACTATAACAGTATTAAATATATCTTAACAATATCACCCCCCTCCCCTAGCTTGAATAAACAATGGTATATATCTTTGGGAGATAATGTATTTATATAAAGTCTAAACTAAAGGTGAGTGATATTGTTTCAGAAAAAACAATAGCATTAGCAATGTGGATATGATTGTCAAGCACTTATTCGGATAAATATGTCCGATAAGTGCTCCAAATGTAGTGCAGACTTAATGGCAGGACAACATTTGAGTTGTACATCCACAATGCAATAATTAAAGTCTAATATTAAATGAGTTCTTAACTTTTCATCTGTAATATGCTATAATCCTTACCTGGCATAGAAGCGTTTGAAGTAAACAGTTGCCGTGGCAATGACCTGTTGCCGCAGCTTCAGATGTTCCCCCAGAGCCTGGATCACTGAAAGAGACAAAATTAGATATTAACAACTGAAAGAAAAACAGCCTGCCTTCATTATAAAGTGTTTGGTTGGAAACATTGTGTAAAAGTCCACATCAATAGACATAAAATGCAATCTAATAGATAATTAGATAATGTTGGACTGTATGGGTAATATGCTTTGTTATTTCATGCAATTAAATACATTAAAACATAAATGTCTTTGTACAAATGTAACCACTACCATTGGCAAAGAAAATCTGCAGCTTCCAGTACTCCTCTTCTGAGAGGAACTTCAGGTCCTTCTGCCGCTCTTTCATCAGGTCCTGCTTGTCCAGAACCCACTGAAGACTTAGAAGAAATAAATAAATAAATATTACAAAATGATCATAGTTGCGCTGGTTGTTCTTACTGTCGACAACTAAGCTAGCGGGTAGCACAACATAAACCTTTGTGTTTTAGCCTTCTGTATTGCAGACGTAAAGCTGGAACAACATCAAAATAAGCTATTATGAATAGTCTTTTACCAAAGCTTTTGTTTTTTATTTGTTCACTCTCTGTCTTTATTTAAATCACTATTTTATATCGGAGCAACAGTTCAGGAGAAACCGAGCAGCCGCAGAAACACAGCTAGGCTAAGCTAGGCCTCACAACACAGGCGGTTATTTAAATATAAAGATGTTAAATTACACATTTTTTATAAAAACTTACTAATGAGAACTTTGCCAGAAGTTTCCCGCCATGTTGCAGCAGTTGAGGTAGAGAAGGACACTTTATAATGATAAAACTTAACAACAAAGAAACGGATAGCACAAGCAAAGTAGTTGTGCTAAGCAGACAGAGGAGTCACACCAAAAGCGTCCCTGAGCAGCGCGGAGAATTCAATGGAAAGGTTCCGGAGTTTTTGTTCCGCTATTAAAAAGTCAATTTATTTTTCTCTACAAAAGTTATGTGGCAAAAATATATATGGAACATGGATATATTAGAATTATTCAAATGTGAAAATGGATGGAAATATGGATGGAGTAGATAAAAGATGAATTGATGAGTGGATGGTTTGACGAATAATGTGCTAGAAAACGAAATGAGCAAAACACCCAACGCAACATTGTTAATAAATATGCTGTAATGTGTTCAGTTAATACGGGGGCACACATGCCTATGCAGCTGAGTCATCAACATAATGTCATCATTAGACAATTAAGATTCCTTCAAACAGTAAGTTAATTGACGTAACCTTGATAGATGGTTGTAGAGACATTCACCCATGGGTTGGGGAGGTTCAACATTCCTCTGCAGTGTTTAGGGAAGGGCTGAGGGTATAAAGACCCCACCACGGACTGAAAGGTATATACGAGTTATCCGTTTCCAGTCCACATTTGAAGCTGTAACAGTTACAGGAGCGTCAACATGAGCCGCAGTCCAGACAGGATGTCTTCATACCGCCGGCAGTTCGAGGGGGCCTTTGCCGCACCACCTGCCTACAAGTTGCGGGTGTCCAGTCCCTCTCCCACCCGCAGGGAGTCCCGCCACAGGTCGGCCAGCTACACCCGGAGTGCCGGGTCAATGGGGCGCAGGGCCATCTCCAACAAGTCTGCCATGAGCAGGTGAGTGCCCTGCAGGGGTGTCATTATTACTCAGATCATGTTTATATATTATATACTATGTATTAGCATAAACATTATACATTCAGGAAAATTACTTATATGCAGAATGTTCAATATCAGAAATATTCATACTGTATTTAAACATATGTGGGGCTTATTTCTTACTATATATACTGCTTGTAAGCTTGTAACTTTCACCAAGGGATCAATAATGTCTTATACAGAATAAAAAAATACAATTAATTAACTGATTATATACTGTATTGATAAATTTAATTTGCAATATAATTAAAAGCAAATACATGTAGTGGGATAAAAGTAAAATACTTGTGTTTGAAATGTAGAAATACTCAAGTATAATACAAATACTTAACATGTTACATTAAATGTGCCTTTCTTAGTTACTCGCCAGCACTGGTCATAATGTTGATTGCCATTAGCTTGTATTTAAAAAGTGTCTAGTACTACCAATGCAGCTTCATTGAGAGATACAGATGTTGCAGTGTGAGTGCATAATAAGCATCGAACAGGTTTAAATGATAGTTAAATAAAAACATCCATCAAATTAAAACTTGAATGAATCTACTGGAAACCCTCTGCCTCCACAGCAGTGTGAGTATGGGAACTCTGTGCCTCGGGATGTCCATGGGGCTCGGGAAACAACTGGACCTGGATGCTGCTGCGGTAGAGAACCAGGCCTTCATGGCGACTCGCACCACCGAGAGGCAGGAGATGGTTGTCCTCAACGACCGCCTAGCAGCGTATATTGAAAAGGCAAGAGCATTTTCACATTTGATGATGTACTGCTCTGTAATGTCACACAAATCCTTGTCATTTGAATTTCTTGACAATCTGACAACCTTTTCTTCAATTATTCCTATACGCAAAACATTAGGACAAATAGTAAGATGCATAGAAACACATCATGTAATTATGTTGTTGTTGTGCTTTCAACATGTTATCAGTAGGTCAATGAGTTTCTCCTGTATTTATTTTTGTAGGTGCGAAACCTGGAGTCAGATAACAAGCTGCTGGAGGCAGAGATTGAGTCCCTGAAGAGCCGCCATGAAAGACCATCAGGCCTAAGGAAGCTGTACGAGACTCAGCTGAAGGAACTCCTCAGGGATGCAGAGAGAATGAGAGTCCAGAGGGTGAGGGAGGTCATCTCTCATGGCTTCAACATATGTATATCACACTTTGTTGTGACTACTATAGAAGCCAGTCATGGTCAGAATTAACCAACACTTGTGCTCCTTTATTCTACTGCATTTTTTTTATTTAAAAACTGTTTTATCATTGTATATCTGTACAGGATATGTCTTTGGAAGCCAAGGAGGCGATGTTGGGCCAGTTCGACATATTGAAGGCCAAATACTACGAGGCTGTTGATGCCCGTAAAAAGACGGAGCAGGATATTGAGAATCTCCGTCCGGTAAGAAGCAGATACAATCTTAGAAGAAATATATTCACAAGATAGATACTGTATATTTCACGAAACAATTCAAATTACATGCTGTTAAATGTCCTAGGATGTGGATAAAGCAACTACAGCACGGATTATGTTGGAGAAACATCTGGAAAACCTTGAGGTCCAGCGGGCCTTCCTGGAGAGAGTTCATAAGGAGGTAATGTATTGCCTCACCGGCCACACTGCATACCATGTATATGAGTCAGTGGCTGGCATGCCTGTCATTTTGCAATTAACGTTTTAATTGGCTGGTAATTACTGCAATGACATGTTGTACTTTGGGATGACATGGATCGAGTGAGTAAATGCAGTCTTGGCAATTATCAGCATGGTGTGAGGGGGACACCTGTGACTAGCATGTGGTGTAGTGGACCTTCCTTGAAAACATAAATAAATGGTTACGTTTTTAACCCTATCTTAGTTATATTATCAAATAAGCCATTTAGTGCCTTAAAAACTACGACATACTTCGAAAGGACGCAGGAAGACCGTGTAGGTTGCGTAAAACAGCATGCTATGATTTATATTTGAGTTTTTTGTTCAAATCCGGCCAGCAATATTCCCAATACTCTGCCGTTTTGCAATGGCTGCTTATGGTGGGCCAGTAAATAGAGCGTTAACATGATTAGAAACAGTCACGATGATAAGTACGAGTGTAGTTATAAACAAACTTTGCCGCATCCATTTGGCTCAATAGAGATCTTACTTTTATATATTGTCAATACGACATGGCAGTTTCGGCCATCCAATTTAAGTTAGCTTTATAAGTGGGGTTATGTATTGCTATTTTTCTAACTCGTGTTGTTTTTGATCCACCCAAAGGAAATTGATGAGCTGATGCAGCTGTTCTGTGTAGAAACCTCCAAGGTGGAAGTGTCCTTCGGCCTCCCCGACCTCTCCTCTGCTCTCAGACAGATTCAGTCTCAGTATGAAAGTATTGCCGCCAAAAACCTAGAGGTAGTCTGCCACAATAGATCAACAACATGAATAAACCGTGTCAGGTTATATAGAACATTTGAGAACTACTATTGCAAGGCCTTACACGGCATTAATAATCTTTTGAAACTTTTAATATTTGTTCTTCTCCAGGAAATGGACTCTTGGTACAGGTCAAAGTTTGAGGACCTGAACGGCGCCTCATCCAAACACGCCCATGAGACTCGAAGTCTAAGAGAGGAAATCGCAGGCTACAAGAAGGATGTTAGTATGATTTCCTGTTCCTGTTCTTTTCCTACTCATTCCTAGCATTAAACCGCTGTGTGTGTGTGTGTGTGTGTGTGTGTGTATAGGTTCTCAACAAGGAACGTGAATTGAAGACATTGGCGGCGAAGAATGAGTATTTGGAGGCTCAGATTCGTGATTCAGCATTACAATACAAGAAGGAGGTGGAGGACTTGGAGGTGACTGACGTTGACGATGTTATTCTATAATACATGAGATATTTCAAATGGATATAAAATACCCTTTCTGACCCAAAACACCATTAAAATGAAGACATTCTGATGTATCGTTTTTCAACAGGAGCGCATTGAGGCGATTAAGCTGGAATTGAGAGTAACTAAAGAGAAGATTGCTATGCTGCTGCGGGAATACCAGGACCTGCTGAACATGAAGATGGCTCTGGAGGTTGAGATTACCACCTACAGGTGAACAAAACACAAACTCATGCTATTTCCGCAGTATGTAAGCCTGTTTGGTCAGTAGAAAGTATATCGTTTTGTATGCAGCGTTTATTCAGACTTCACTCACTGTTATTTTGTTTCAGGACTCTGATTGAGGGTGAAGACAGCCGTCTGAGCACCATGGTCCCAAAGCTGTCTCTAACTGGATGCCATCATCTCACCTGTGGTGTTAGCATGAATGCTACTTCAGCTTCAGTCTCTGATAGCTCTGCTGCCACTTCAAAGCTAGATGGAAACCCAGATGGCATGAGCAGTACTGGGGGTGAGAAAGCTCCTGGTGCCGGCCGGGGGGAGACGGCCTCATCTGACGCCCTGACAAAAGGGACTGAAGGGGAGCAGGCGACTGAGACCACTGAGAGGAAGACTCTCCTCATCAGGTAGAGGGTGACTCTGGTATAGAATGGGCCTTATGTAGCAATATACTTTTACATTTGCCATTACTTTTTCTGTTAAGAGAATAAGAAAGGTATGAATCTCACCTGATACTGCTTGATACTTATAATACTCTTGCACATACCCAACAAATAGAGAGATGGCACAAGAACAGGCTGTAAGAAAAATAACTTCGGACGTAATGTTATAGAGGTACCGTACTGTTAAATCAACTTTAACACGTGATTTTTCAGAACTCAAATCAAATCAATAAGCATCTCGGAGCAGAGTGTAAGCCGTTCAGAAGCTGAACGCATGCAATATCCTCTTTCGAGGGTTTTCATATCTTTATTGGGATCATAGCACCAATAGAAATTCATTATCCAATCATTATAATTACTCCCCAACATGTAATATTTGATAATGATATTACTTTTATTATGTTCCTCAAATGTAAAACTCCTATGCTTTCCTTTTGGTGGACTGTGAAAGCATTAGCTTTTTCTTTCCTGATAAGAGTGCTCGCATCCACTTGTACAATGTTGTATTTCCTAAGTAAAAATAAGAAAGGATTTGTGATTCCAAGAAATTAATGGGTATAAATGTCAATAAAATGTCTGATCTCGCTTTCTGCATGAGGCCCATTGTCTATTGTCTAACATACGAAATAAGCCATAAATCAGAATCTCATACTGATACGGAAAAAATGTCCCCTTTTTTCTCAGATCAGTTAAGACAGATGGGGACACTTATGAGAGCGACACCCAGGAGCGCACCTTCATCATTTCTGGAGCAGCGGACGAGACAGAAGAATAAAGAAAACTTTAATTAACACCAAATCTTACTAACAACCTCTGCTAACTATATCCTGTTCGCCATGTTGTTATTCAGGCCTTTTCAATGCTTGAGAGATCCTAGAATTCATGATTGAACTAAAGAGAAAACAAATATCTTACGAAAGCTGCACAGGCCTATTTGAAGATTGTGTTTGTCCTACATGGAGCCTTTACATGGGAAGGCTCCACTGAGTTCTGTCACTCTGCTCTGCCTGCTCATAACTGCCTTTTAATGCTCTTTTTAATCCTGCTGCGTGTCGTAAACGTGTCTTTCAAAGTAACAAAAATAAACAGCAAGCAATCAAAACTGTGGTTTTCATTTGAATCCAATGAGACACTTACACATACACTTCAGTTTTTTTCTTTTCCATTATTTATTTAAACCAAAGTAGCAAAAGATTTCCAATGGAAGAACAACAATTGCTTTTACTCCCCTCATGTAAACTTATGATTTCACTGTTTCAATAGAAAAGAAAATGAATACAGTATCCGTTAAAAGGTTAAATTTAGTAGGAAGTTACATGATAATTGAAAGTTAATATTCTGAGTGAGTGTGTGAAGACAATTGATGTTTTAATTATGACATATAACAGTGAAATAGCTTATTTATGCGACATAGAAACCCGTCATTTCCCGGCAGATAGTAGACTGTTAATAGCGTGACTTACAGTGAGAAAAAAAACCTTAATTGTTTCCCCCTGTGTGATCTTAAAAACAACAGACAAATACAAAGAAATTGAATAAAGTACCAAGTGCAATTAAAAGTACAAAATAATTTAATTCCTCACCTTAAAGAAGTTATTTTGAGAACCGCTTTAGGGAATGATGTTGTAAATAGTGATTGCACTCGAAAAGCACTGATTGATTTGTCAATGTTGTGTGTTTGTGTTTCTAGTGCAATGGTTTGGGTTCACCCCCCACTCCCCCAGCGAGACGATAAACAGCAAGGCTGACTTCATGTGCCAGGTCATCAGCGCTGTCCTAAAAACACAAATATGTATCAGAGAATAGAAGCCAAAAAGGGGGCAGGAAAAAGTCCAACACTAAAGATTTCTCACCTGTGTTTCTGCCTCCGCGTAAACTCTCACCACGTCCTCGGTGCCGGAGGGTCTCACAAAGGAGCGGGCCTTTCGGTATTTCTTCACCAAAGTGTCGATGGCCTCCTGCAGTCCGGCTGGACTCACCGCCCGCCTCTCTGCGTCCGTCGTGTCTATCACCCTACGGTCGGACACCTACAGAACACAGACTCACCTTACTATAACTGCTTATATTCGAGTAAGGGAGTAAATATATTTTACAAAATAACGAGATATTAAAATTGGACACACCAGAAGAAAATCTGCTTTCCTGAAGACTTTGAAAGTGTTACTGAAAGCGAGACACTGAAACATTTCCAGAACTAGGGTAACTGCAGTCACAGGTTGATCAAATGTAAGTCCTTTGTTTCATGGTGAAAATGAAGGGCTCAAAAATAATTAGGATTTTTGAAAATAATCAACCCCAAAAACTAAATTAAATAAATCATCTATCAGAAGCAGCTCTTCAAAATGAGTGTGTTGATGAGAAAACTTAATCAAGTAATAGTGACTTATTTCATTTTGTACATTTATTATAGCCATTCAACTACAAGAAATTCCAAGACCTGTTTTGTAGCAGACCTTGCATGTTGACGAGATTAACAAATGACCAGCAGATATGACTATCAAAATTATTTAACATTATGACACATTAAGTAATGAGTACCTTGACTTTGAGCTGCCTGTTTGGCAGGTCAGTGTAGATGGCGTCCCACTGATGGATAGTCATACCCTTAATGGCTAATATGGCTTCGATCAGCAGCATGTCAGAAATGGCATCGCCTACAGTCTTTAAAAGATAGAAAAACACAAAATAACACATTAGACCTGAGAGTGAGTGTGAAAAATATGTGTTATTTACAGTTACATGTGTAAGTGTCCACCTGGTTGATGACGTTGATCGTGTTCTGCAGCAGGAGAGCCGCTCTCTTCTTCTCGTCGATGAGGCTGGAGTTCTCAGCGAGCTGCTGGATCTTTTCTTCAGCTGCCTTACTGAACAACACCTGAACGCAACACAAACACAGCATGACACACCTCAACACATTGCTTTATACATTTTAAATAACACCTGATATACTATAACAATGACAGAAAATAGCAGCTTTTCAGTGCTTCATGTGATCTGTTCAAGTCGTGTGTCGGATCTACTCACAGTTCCATGACCGTTGGCCTCGAAGTACACCCCAATATCAAACTCCTGGGCTGCATGATGAAGGTGCTTCACTCCAGTTTTAGTACACCTCACTATCACCTAAATGTAATGAAAACGTGTGAGCTTCTACGTATCGAAAACATGAAAAGAAAGAAAGGAACGCAATTGAGTTTTCTCACCTTCATAGTGTTTTCCAAATAGTTTGTTGAGCTCCCGTTGGCATAAGCAGTTTGCACCACTGCTATCTTCAAGTCTAAACCAGCCTGTAGCAACAGAATAAAAACAGTTAACTACAGGTTTATGTGCGTGCTTGTTGTTGCCGTGTTTGTACTTTAGAGTTTACCGATGTGAGCAGCTCTTTAAGGAAAGTGCTGATGAGTGTAGCGACTTTGTCTCCATCCAGCAGGTGAAACTTCCCTTCAGAGTCAGAGTAGTAGTAAACGATTCGGTCAGCGTCACCGTCAAAGGAACAGCAGCGCTCCCCCGGGTTGATCTCCATGCCTTTACAGAGAAATAGAAAGGCGGCCATAAAAAACAGCACCTAGGTTTATCTTGGGGCTATACATTTATTTGACACATGGCTACTTTTAAAAAAAGGGACACATAAATTATAACGGATGTCAAATTAGGCAGTGTAAGACCGAAACGTAGACATTTCTAAGGCAGTTTGCTGATTAACTGTCTCCATCTTGTGGTCAGATAACGCATCTGTGATTTCACATGAAATAAGACAGAGAAGCATTTAATTAAAGGTCCCATGTCATGCTTTTCCGGTTATTACCCGTCCCCTTGTGTGTTATGAAGGTTTTTATGCATGTAAACGGTCTGCAGAGTCAAAAACCCTCAAAGTACACCCTGTAGGGAGTAAAACTCTAACACAGAAAATACCTCCCCAAAACGCCTCGTTGGAGATTTCTCATTTTCTTCCTGGGTACTCTGACGTAGGGATACCCAGTAGCCACGCCCAGAGCTATGGCCGCACCCTCTGCCAGCCTTTCACGAAACAAAGCTTCCCAAACCTTTCAGCGATTCACGCCGGATATGTACAGCGTAGGGCACTGAAGAACGATGCTGTTCCTACTTTGTTTGGACCAGCGGGAGATTCGGGTACACAACCTGTAAGCAGTGGCGGCCGGTCCATAGGGGCGCTAGGGGCGCCGCCCCACCTCTTCCCATATTAAAAATAAAAAAATAAAAATAAAAATAAAAAATATATTTAAAAAAAAATATTTTTTTTTATTTTTATTTTTAATGAACAAGGTAAATATTATATAATTGGTATCAGTAAAATGTATAATCTACAATAAAATCTCGTTTAAAAATTGTGTTACGATGTCTAAAGTTACTGATAAGTCACATGTTTCCTGCCTGGCCTTGCCTGTGTACCTCTCGTCTCGGCGCTAAGAGAGGAGCCCTCAACCAGTGCAGCAGCAGCCACTAGCAGCTGACTGTTGCTATCTGTAACGTGTAAACTATGCCGCGAAAACATAATTTCAGCCAATCAGCGTCGTCAAATATGATGGTCATAGGGCTCCTACGTGAGCGCCCGGTGCAGTCTGTGAGTTGTTTGGACTCGTATCCAAGGAGACAAAACAGGAAGCTGTCATACACTCTGGAAGCTACCATTTAGCAGCTAATGAAAACTCCGTTTTTGACATGAAAATGGAATTATGGATCATCAATCATTTTTCAAAGTGACAGACACATTGGATTAATTTATGGATTAACCTTCAGCTGCGTTTTTCTCGTTTTTGATCAGAATTGTTATTCTGCAAAAGGTGAGCATATCTCCATGTTTTGCTACCTAAAGCTACGTCGTGTGATGTCTGTATTTGCTTCCACTGTCGCGAGTTCTGATAACTCAGTGATGATACTTATATTTCTAGAATATATGGAATCTCAGCTTGTAAGCTTGTTTGTGCATATCCGATAAGTATATCGATTGATTTATACCTAGAGTGCGTTAGCATTTTTTCGCTCAGGGCTCATTTAGATGCTTCTTGTGAGACTTGTGTTTTGTTTCGGTAAACATGGTTCATATCATCAGTTAGATGCGTTTCCTCTGAGTAGGACACATGAATAGTTTATTACATTTTAAGAAGCCCTGAGACACAGTTTCGTGAGAAAAAAAACGGGGGGAAAAAGCCCCTTAACAGGTTAAATGGGAATTAAATCAGTGTTCCCAAAGCCCCGGTGTTCTGCAGTTTGTGTGGGCCTACTGTACTGTTGCACAGTTTATGCTGTAGAGACTATGTCCAGGACAAGGTGTTTGGAAGTTTTGGAAGATTCATAGCTAACCACACTGAAGTTATGGAGGTATTGATCAGTCTTCTCATATTTTTAAGCCTCAAATTGTCCTTCTCCCCCCCTCTAACATCACCAGAAGTCATGATTTAAGGGGTCTTTTCTCAAAAAAAATTACCGGGGGAGCATCCCCCCGGACCCCTCTAGTATTGTTTGATCACCATTTCCACAGCCCCACCTAAAATATTTTCCACCAGCCGCCACTGCCTGTAAGTATTCATTGTTGTTTGTGTATTTATGATGTTTAAAACAAACAAGGACGACTGTTTGAATGGGTAAACGTTTTTCGGGCTACTAAGTTGGGATCGCGGAGAAATGCTCTCCGCAGACCCATGCTCACAGCGTTATAAACCTTTTTCTTACTCAATATCAAGCCACACTTATTGTTTTTACTTCGGCTGTGAGTGTTTGTGTGTGCTCAGGATGAGTTTTGCTTGTTCTCGCTGTATCGCCGAGAGGCTCGTTGCTGCGATCTGCTGCGAGGAGCAGAGCAGATCGCAGCAACGAGCCTCTCAACGTCCCGACCAATCAGAGCACACTGGGCTCACAGGGAGGGGGGGGCAGGAGCTCCAACAAGCCGTTTAGGACAGAGAGTGAATACCGGTGAATACACATACTATACAGAGATGCTGTATGAGAAACCAATGTGAGTTTGGAAAATTGCACAATATAAATATATTTTAGTAGACCTCAACAATGGAATTATGATCAGTAGAAATGGCCATGAAATGGGACCTTTAACTGTTTTGTTGTCACTGTATGTATATTAAAAAAGTATTTTTTCTTTTAATACAAATCATTTTAATTGGCGTCACATCATAAATTGCCCCTCTGAAAGTCTAAAAAGCACGGCTCTACCTGTTGGAGGTTTTTGCTGCACTTTGACAAAGTCCGCCCCACACTGGTGGTTGAGCTTTCCTTCACTGCCATCGTTGAACAGCGATATATGCAGCTCCTTTTTCAGGTGACTCTCCATCTCGCGCACCTTTAGGGCCCCAATGCCATTAGCGCCATCCACAGAGAGGTGCTTCTGGTCGTCTGTGCAGTTGGACGCCTGCAAGAGAGGTGAGAAAAAGGGGGGAAGGAGAAAGGAGTTATTCCTTGATGGATAGGTGTAATTAAAAGACACGCCCCCAAATAAAAAAAGCTTGAGTGAAGTCACAGCAACACAGGACACACCCTGGTTTCTTACATTCTTTGAGAGCTTAATGAAAGCTTGGCAGAGTTTCGTATAGTATCCTTCCACTGTGGCTTCTCCGTATTTCCCCTGCGTGTTCTGACAGCAAACCATGTAGTGGAGCTGTGGGGTCGTCACCAAACCATAGTCTGATGGGATCAAATGAAAGAGTCAGATAACGTGCAAGATAAGACGGATATAGAGGAATAATAAAACTAAGAAGGTAAACAAATTAGTTAAATATAAGGAGTAGAGATGTTTTTTTAACCCCACCTTTGCTGTGACCCCCGAGTGCAGATACTCCATCCAATACTGCCTGTGAAAGGCGGGCACTGCTGCCTCTATTGTTTGAAAAACACATCAAATAATAAAATGTTATGTACAGTAAGAGCATTTGCGGCCACAGAAAGAATGAGTGAATAGTAAAAAGGTCTGCTATATGTGTATCTTTCTGTGCTTCAATGTGCATCTTTCCATCTAAGAAATCCAAATGAGAGATGACATCAATTTAAATACCTGGTGTCTTTGCCCACAAACACCTTAGCCTCCTGGCTCATGTTTACGGCCTCTTTCTCTATGATATCCTTCAGCGCCGCCAGCAAATCCTCCTGCTCAGCGTTGGCCAGCTGGGTGGCGTAGACCTCCCATGTTGGCGAAACCATCTCCCCCATGGGATCAACAAGCTTCACCCCGTTGTCCTCCTACATATATATCAAGAGAGAAGTTGGAGGGGAGGGTTATTAATATGATGTTATTAAAGAAATTGTTTAAACTGGTAGAATCCCATGAAAGGCCAAGGAAAGGGAGCGATGTAAACTGTCATTTGTTATTAAGAACATAAAAAGAAAACAATGTTATGAGATAAAATAAATAGTATGACAGGGAAAAAAAACAGTTATCTAAAATATCCACACAGAATATAAACTAAATCATAGATTTATAGCAAGATGCAAGGAGACATTAGGAGTTTTTTTTCACCTCAGGGTTGTGTGATGCAGTGACCATGACTCCGATGGTGGCTTTGGTTGTTTTGGAGCGGAGGGTTGCCAGCAGTCCCATCCTGAACATGATGTGGTCCAGCAGTTTTGCGTTGGTCCTGAAACCTGCGGTGCCATACTGCAAAACCAACCCTGCAGGCTTTGGGTGAACACCGGACTGCTTTGATACTTCCTGAAACTCGGACATCACTGAAAAACATTTGAAAAACATAAAAAGCAGACATTGGAGTGATAGACAAAGTATTTAGGTTCATTACCACAATGAAAAGTCAAACAAAATCAATCAAATGTTAACTCAATTTAAAGAACATAGGCAATATCACCAACATGTATGTGACATATCAACATTAACATTTAAAGAAATAATCTTGTTGTTTTCCAACAGAATGATTCCAGTCATAGTAATATCATCAGATAAGAGGCTTATTATTATCACTAATATTACTACTGCATAAATAGACATTTTGAGGTTGTAGCTGGTTGAGGATGAGAGATTTGAACTATTCCATATACTGAGAAAGCTTTGGGGCTTTTCCAATCATACATATATTAAAACATAGTAAACATGTCTTATTTCAGGCTAAACGCCCTTTGAAGACAACAGCTAGACAAAGCTTTTATATTGAATGTCAAAGGACAAGAAGAGGGCAAAGTTTGCACTTATTGCAGCGGCAGTCTGTCGCCTACTAAACAGATAAACTCAATAAAATGAATCACATCTATTGAAATGACAGAGCAACTTCCTTAGAATTACATTTACTAGCTGAAAATACATCAACACGCAGCAAAAACAAGTTCATTCAGCATTAAACGTAACAAGAAACCTAATTCATACATGTAATCACGTAAAGTTGTTTTAAATTCACTTACTGTTTTGTTTTCTGTACAATCAGCACTGAAGTCTGGTGTAGTCAACGCTTCCTGTTTTTCCGGTTCCTCCCATTGACGACGTGGCTACAGTTCCGTGTACGTCACATGACGTAATTACGCAGGACGTGCCTTTTCTCCACGCATGAATCTCTCCCATCACAGCCATGATTATATTACTTTAATGCAGGAACACCCTAAACACCACAATCAAGCCAAATATCTATGCAATTAGATGTTATTCAGTTAATTTGTTGCATGGTCTTTAAATAAATAAAAGACTGATTTGTTCTCATTGCATTTCCGGTTAGACCAGTAAGCTGAATATCTCGAAGATAAACATTAAGACGTTGTTTTTAGACCCTGCATGGTAACACATATTCGACCGCTGGAGAGAAATTACTCCACGATGTTTGTTCTTGTCTTATATTATATTAGCATTTTTGGCCAATTTAAAACCTGGATCAAGCTAAGATGATAATAACCATAAATCCAAAATTGGCCTATATATTTTTGGGGAAATAGAGGGTATGCTTATACTGTATCTAGCAGCCATGTTTCACTTCAATCATCTTTCACTCTATGTCCTGTGTGAAAACCTGTTTGATGCATACATGCAGCAGCACATATTAACCCTTTGGCGCATAGTGATATGAGTTCCTTATAGTGACTCCCCTTTAAGAGACGTGTGATGCGACGTGTGTCATCCAACCCTGTCCAAGTACCCGCTGGGGGAGGAGAGTCTAGATGGACGTATAGAAAGGCCAAATAAATAAGCAATTGACAAGGGGGGAAGGAGAAAAAAGGAAATTCCCTTCCTCTTCCTGAGCATCTTGCGCTGCGCAGTGTTGGCGACACCAACGGGGAGCGGTGCGCATTTTTCCTACGATCTGAAGAGAGGATCATCTGAAGCGGCATTTCTGAGCTGAACGGAAAAGAATCACCGAGGAGGAAATTCTCTTATTTTGAAAGCGTTTTGTCTTGCAGGGAGGAAGACAGCCAACCCCTCATACGGGATATTTGACCGACCTATGGAGTGTTGATTTACAGTCCGTCATTTTTCAAGCATATTTTATAGGAGCCTCGCTTTCACCTGCGTTTTTCATTGGCCTATTTTTTTCTTTTTAATAAATTGCTGCGGGGTAATAAAATAGCTTTTATTCTCAGTTGGGTATTACATAACCGAGTGGTTATAGCTGTCCAAGGTGCTGAAGTAAACGGTCGGAGCCTAACGGTACGAGCCGTGGGGAATTCACAACCTTGCGTAAGTCTACCCATGTCATCGCGCATATTACCGACGTGATCGCACGGTTTGATGCAAAAATAGCGTTAATGTTAGGGGGTTTGAGCTCATTTTGTGTGCTTTTTTTCCGCCCACACAGAAGGTCACAGGCCTATCCGTCGGGGAAGAGGAACGCACGGGATCCGCTCACTGAACCACCGGGAAGCAGCCGGGTGATATTCATTCATTTATTCATCGTCCCGAGGTGAAACACATTCCTGAGGTGGTCGATTCAACGCAGAGAAAATGTCGGGGCAAACGCTCACGGATCGCATCGCCGCTGCGCAATACCAGCTAACGGGATCAGATATGGCCCGGGCTGTCTGCAAAGCCACCACTCATGAAGTGATGGCGCCCAAGAAAAAGCACCTGGAGTGTAAGTGTAGTCCTTCTTCTTCGTTCATACTGTAAGAGCTGGCCTTAGATGGGCCTAGGCTGCACACATATCCATTGAGACCTCATGCCAGAATTATCACCACCAGCCATTTCTTAATCACCTTGCCTTTAATGGGTGTGGTGCCATAATGAATTGATGCAGCCACGATGGTGATGACCCCTCTGGTGACCCTTTGTGACAGCCCCCAGAGAAAGGGAGAGTAGGAGAGAAAGAGGGAGGGAGAAAAGGTCATATTTTAAGGCAGACTGACATGTCATCCTCAGAAAAATACAATTTGATTTCCCTTCTCTGTGCTGCTGCAGCACTGAAGCTTTGTAAGGCTGCATGTCTGGATGGTCACACATACTAAAATAACATTTTATATCAAGCTAATGCTGTCTAAACATCATGCAAAGACATCAATTTGTCTATCAGTAAGTTCAGGCCAATTAAGAGCCATGTCACAGCTGAATACAATTATCAAACCTCACAGCTTTATTGACACATCTCCAGTTGACAGCAGGGGCCACCTTATGACAAATCGTGATGAATTACTGTCATCTACTACACATAGTGAGTCAGACCAAAGCAGTGGCGTGGCGCTGCATACAGATAACGGCTGGACTGGTTAGCTCTGTGCCCTTTTTCCTTTTTAAGTCTGTCTGTGTCTGTGGCTGGCCAGCTCTGGTCCTGTGTCTTGGACCTTATATCTTGTGATCCGCTACTCTGCTGAATTATTTATTAATCAGCCAATGACTGCCTTGCATTATTTACACAGCCAAAGGTGACAATACTAATGCTAGCAAAGCACCAGAGATCATTGCTTTTTAGCTTTTTTGATGTGTCTATGTCTGTTTTTTGTGTGTCTTTTTGTCTTTAGAGACTATAGTGCACACCATGATCTCTCTGTCCAGCTGCAGGAGAGATAGCCTCTATAGGCCTCTTGATACCGCACACACTTTAATCTAGAGCAAATTGAATACATTACAAATAATAAATAAATGACTAGACAAATCTATTTGATTATCTATTGACAGAAAATGATGACTATTTTGATAGGCTTTATTTATTAATCACTTAATCAATTAATAATATAAAAATGTCAGAAAACACACGTTTTCAGCCTCTCAAATTTGAGGATTTCCTGCTTTTCTCTGTTTTTATTTTTCATAAAACAAGGCATTTAAATACATGACCTTGCACAGAAACTGTGGTGCACATTTCTTATTATTCTCTGCATTTATTAACTAAACAATTATGGGTTAATTCTAAATTATAGACTAATTGATAAAAATATCATTTATTTTGTTTTTGAGGTTATGCTGTATCCATTCAAGCTACACACGCTTCTTGTATGTAGGCCACTGTGCTTCTCTTGCATGTGTGTCTTGGCTGGAGGAAATTCCTAACCTAAAAAAACTCAGTGTTGATTAATTTATGTCTTGGACTCTTGGTGTAGTTGAGACTGAAAAAAGGGAAATAACTGCAAAGTGATCATTGATAATAAGTAAAGGCCGCCTAAATAATAATTTTCACTGTGTTTAATTGATGGTGTATTTGATGAGAGATAAATATTAAAGCTGACTGGTCATATTTAATCCTTTGTCACAGTGACACAGTCAGTGACCCTTGGGGTGGGTGTGTTGGTGGCGGTGGTGGTGCAGGGCAGTTGCCATGGCAACAGATTGAGAGTGTCAGGGGATGGCACTCTAATGACAGAGGGCGATTGTGAGGAGGAAGAAGACAAATGACAGGTTGTCATCTGTAGAGTGCATTCAGTATGTCTTTAACTTGAACCAATAAACTGAACGTATCTGTAATCTTTCAGTAAAATAAACACTTAACATATATTATAACACGTTTGCATTTTAAGTAGAACACTTACCTTAAATGGCAAAATGTCAAAGTGGCAATTTACTATTTGCTTCATCACTATGAAGTACATGTTGATACACAATGTAATAGCTGTACGAATCTGACACCTTCAGCATTTAGATGTGTTCTGTATAAAAACCTTGCTTTTACTGCAATTCTGTCTTCCACCAGGAGTAATTATTCTACAAAGGAAGTTTGAAAATGGTGCGATCAAACAGGAAGAAGTAAAGGTTTCTGTTTTTGCATTACCATAGTTGAAGTTCTTTGCAGTTCTTACATTAGCATATGGTAAACATTGGAATGAGGTACTGTGGAAAACGAAATGCAGTGAGTCCTGTTTTGTTGGTAGTTTTGTTTTTCTTTGCCACTATAAAGCTTACCATATTAGCGCTTGGAAACATTAGGGGTTGAGGTGGAGATGTGTTTCAACCTTAGCAATGAAGGGCCTGAGAAGTTGTTCTGAATGAGGCTGTGTAACAGGGGCCTAACTACAAAAAGCTAAAAGATAATATATATGTAGGATCTTCCTCTGTATGAAGAGCAAATGTATTAATTTATTTTGTCTTCGATGTCTACATTTGATTTCAGTGCAGGGAATGAAACCCAGGTGTTAAATGAGTGTTATGTTTCACAATTATGTGTAAAACACACTTGAATTTCATATTCCTGATCATTTTGTTGTATAGTAGTAGATGTAGTAAAAAGAGTCACTGGAGGAATTTGTTACACATTTCTAGAGAACACGTGGTCCAAGCAAGGTCAACTAAAAGAGAGAATTCAACTCAACACCAAGGGCAATCATTTAAATACAGCTATAGTACTGTTGTTGATGTAGAAGTAGCTGTTTTTTGCAGAGTAAAATAAATCTAGCCAGCACCTGCAGCACCTCTAAAGATCACTAATTAAGAGTTCTATCTCTCAAAACCTGAAGTGTAAAAAGGATAAGCTGCTCTTTTACAGGCCGTTAGGTGTAAGTAGTAACGTCCTGAGGTCTTGCTGTCAGGCTTCTTGAATTGTGTCATCTTCAGAAAGAGCTCGGCTAGCTGTTTCCCACGTGTTAGTGTAGTATAGTAATGCACTACCAATCCCACAACACAATTTGTCATAATCTTTTAAAGGCAAGATTAACAGTTGTAGCGTACAAATCTACACCTGTGAGAGTGTTGGATCGAGAAAACTATTTAAAGAATGGCATCTGACTACTAATCAAGTGGTTTTTCTATCAACGTTAAAATAAATTACAGCAGATACCAACTAAAAATGGACACTGTAACACACCCAACATTCACTCGCACAGTAGTTTGACACCTCAGTTCATTCTTAGAGCTCTCCTGTGGCCCGTGGATTACCGTCTATAGTCTTTATTTAGCTCAGCCAATCCTCATTAGACACACACACACACACACACACAAGTCAATGTGTGTTTATAAGATAATAAACAGAGACCAGGGATTATAACCTATGATATGGCCTGTTAACAGTAAACACATATCTATATATATCTATATACATTAATGCTTTAGTATTATCAACAGTGGTGGAATGTACCAAAGTAATATTCGGAGGTACTTTATCTATGTATTTCCATTTTATGCTACTATTTGACAGTTTTAGCAACTGCTGATATAGATTATAAATAAATATAAATATAATGAAAATGTATTATTACCTGCCAAGCAGTATATAAAGTACAATTAGCGCCACCGTAAATTATTGCATCACTAATTTTAACCCAGAGATAGATTATTTAGAAATGGAGTATATTTTAATTTTATAATCTTGTGTTTTCAAGTTAGTAATATCTTTCACTTAAACTTGACTTACCTTTACTGTGATATTCCTTTACTTAATACTTCTACCACCTCTGATACTGAGCTGAAAGTCTTGAAATGGTTGCGGATAACGCTGTGTTTATCGTGCTAGTATAAATACTAACTTGTAGCCGTGCCAGGGACATGATAATGTTACATAATCACATTTCAGCCATTGAGGACCTCGTCTCTGTGTGTGTCATTTGAAGAGCCTGCAGGGCACTGTAGTATTCAGCTTTGTCGTGTAGAAGCCAGGATAAAGAAGGGACAGAAAGAAATGGGAAAAATCCAAGTAGAGTCAGGATGGAAACAAAGCTCTTACTGTATGTGGGTGTATCTTCAAGCTGATATTGTCTGTTCCATCCTGTGCTAGACACATACATCATTGCACTGACTGACAGCACTGGTGTCAAACATGATGATAGAGAAGTGTTAGCATGGTGTAAAACTGTTAAGTGTAAAGTCAGGTGTGTATGTATGTGTGCTGTACGGGGGATGGGCAGTGAGACCAGGGCCAGTGATTAGTAATAATCTGTTTACAAGCCCCCACCCCACCAACCACCCTAACCCCCAGCCCCTCTGTCCAGCCTGGTATGACCTTGAACAGCCTTTCCGTGTATACATTAGTGCTTCCCAACAGACTCCCTGCTGCTTCTCCTCCTTCCTTCCCATATCTTGATTTATTTATGGCCTACAGGTTGGTATATACGACTCAAGGCGAGGCCAAGGCCCTGTTCATTATAACGGCCTTCCTCTCCTTCCATTATCAGAGCAGCTTGCCAATATTTCCTGCGTCTCTCTCTGGCACTCTGTATGGAGACACTCAGCCCTGCCCTTGTTGCTTCGCTGTCAGGGGAACAACTACAAAAATGCACTTTTAGAGGATATTGTTATTCTGATCTTTATCTGTGCCCTCACCAAATACAACATGTGGCTCTGTATCTTTTCATGTCAAGTATGTCAAACATGATGTAGTGCTGCATGATTGGTAATCATTCTGCAATATACTCCTCTAGAGAAATATCATCTATCCTTTTTTTTCTCCAAAGTGTTACCTCCTCTGCCAGACCAAATCCTCTCGCTCGCTTTTTATATTTGCATGACTGTTTCTGCGGCCATCTGTCTGCCTCCCTATCTCCCTTTATCTAAGGAGAAACTCCCACATCTGATGGGGAATACATCAAATGTGAGATTATTTTTTCTTTACAATCTTTGATGGTAATTGATCATTTCATACATTTCTTGGAATTTAACTATTTTCTGACAATTCGGAAAATTGTTTGTAAAAATTGAATAATATTATCTTTAAATTAAAGGTAGGGTAGGTAAGTTTGAGAAACCGGCTCGAGATACACTTTTTGTTATATTCCATGGAATGCTCTTAACATCCCGATAGCAATGAATATCTTAAGTGCTTTGACAAAAAATCCATAAAAAAATGTCATTTGTGGAAGCCGTAGTACTGTAAAAAGCATGACCAATCATTTTAGCCGGCCCGGCTAAAATAACTGGATGGCCTACCTGCCTGTCAGCCTTCCATCTGTGCACAAACTTATCTCGTGCCCTCATTGGTCATGTGCGCGTTCGTGTGTGTTGGAGGAGGGGCTCAGTAAGGAAGTGGCAGATTTTTTCCGGCTGTGTATTTTCAAATTCTAGCGCACTCGAGCTGGTTTCTCCAAAATTACCTACCCCACCTTTAAGCCCTTTTTGGAAGCATGTTATTCATTAAAAAAAAATTTTAAATGATAAAAAATGACTAAAGTGTTTTCGGTAGCAATTGCTTATTGACCAGAAGAAAATGACACGGTACACTTCTTCATTCTAGAGAGCAGGAAGAGATTATTGCATGTGTGTGAGAAATTAGATGCATTTCACTATCCTCATTATATATTCACACCCTGTGCTGATGCAATACTATGGACTCTTAATGTTAGACCCATGTCTGAACTCGAAGTTTGGCTGACTAAGCTCTTTTCAGTATTTCTGCGTTGTCAGTATGTGTTTGTGTTTGTGTTTGTGTGTGTGTGTGTGTGTGTGTGAGTGAGAGAGAGAGTTCTGATATAATTTGGTATGTACATCAGGTCTTCCTCCTAGCTTAATATTCTCATGGGTGTCTGAGGCAGCTCTGCAGCGAACACTTAGCCTGCCCAGTTAATCAAAGTTTAATCCAAGTCTCTCAAATGATGTAAGCATTTGTCTGAGACTAAACTAACCGTCCGTGTCTTTCCTCCTTAGATGTCCCCTTATAGGAAACCAAAAAAGCTAAATATCAGACCACCAAATTCCACATGATTCCAATAATGATAATAATTTTCTCTGTGGCTGTGTTGCAGACCTGGTGTCAGCCACCAACACCACCAACGTGAACATCCCTCAGATGGCGGACACACTGTTTGAGCGAGCCACCAATGCCAGCTGGGTGGTCGTCTTCAAGGCCCTCGTCACCAGCCATCACATGTGTGTCCACGGCAACGAGGTTAGTGGATGAGACCATTGACATGTGGAGATGTTCAGTTCAAGCCTGAATCTAGTTGTATTCAGATATATAAGATACAAATATCATATTGTTAGGATTATGGAGGAAAATGAATGATAAACATGACTGCATATAGAATTGCTAAATTATCCAAATGTATAGGAATGGCCTTGATAATTAACATCTGAGCACTTTGAAGAGTCTTCCGAGTGCTTTAAGGGTTTGTGGTGCTGATGGACGCTAGGCAAAAAAAAGGTTTTAAACACAATTCCTTGAAAATATTAAACCAGTCCTGTGGGTTAAGTGTATTAGCAGTCATCCATTGAATGTTTGTCTACAAAGGCTGCTATGTGATTGAGTGAAATATTTAAAAAAAAAAGAGGAAGAACATTTTTTATTCAATTGTTTGGTTGTAGCGAGATACTACACACAAATACATTGTTGTCTTACTTTTGAGAGTTTGGTCTATTTGGCTTCTTTAACATGTCTCTTTTAGACCAATGGAAAAATCAAATGTATGTGTATATTTTTATTGTCTATTTGCAACTGTGGATTTCTTATAAATTCACTAAAAGACCGCAAAACACTTGTAATCAAAAAACAATTGTAAGTAATTAACTTGGAAGGTTTTAAAGTGATATCTATGAGATACAGCACATTGTTATCTGTAGTGTGGTGCAAACTGGATGGAATTTTATAATAGGCCTTCATTAATGTACATTTCTAAGAATTCTTCTCATACTCAGAAATGTAGAATTCTCCAGGGGTTCGTCCATTATTCATAGCCTGATTTATAGAAATACCTGAAAACATAGCTGTTGGCAGTATTTCCTGATTATTGGAGTGATACGAAGATATTGCATCTGTAAAAACCTTAATGTATCAAATGTATGGGAATTGCCTCATTTGCATATTTAGTAAAATAATTGTCCTAATGTGGATTCAGTTACAGTCTACTTACCTTTAGAGGCTTCCCTTAACTTTAACTTAATTTCCTCCCCCCATTGCTCTTGATTGCTATAGAGAGGTGAAGTCCCGCCCATCTACTTCCGACCCATGGGACCTTATTTCGGAAAAATTATGTATTGAAGTCAATGGAGAGAGAAAGATTATCTTTCGATCCCGTTTGAATTGTGCCACGAATTACACATATGATGTTTGTCAATCTTAAAAAATCATTTCCATGTCAAAAAAGTCACAGTTTGTCGTAAAACTGTTGAAATATAAGACTATGAAAAATACGCAACTAGAAAGACTACAAATCCCAGAATCCCGGTCCCGCATGCTGGCTCTTACGGAACCGACTAACTCCCCTTGTGTGTATGTAACATCAACATGCCCAGACTTGTAGTGATTTTCACCTCTTTTAATACTTTTCGCCTCATTCTGAAAGAAAGAAGTGACGACGTGACGGCCGTCTTGGTGTGTGGTGCGAGATGGGAGATGTAGTTCATTGAGCGGTTTCACACAAAAAAAGTGTTACTTCACAGTTTTACGACACATTTTTATTTTTTTGACTTGCAAAATTATCTTTTAAATTGACAAACATAATATGTGTAATTCGTGGCACAATTCAAACGGGATCGAAAGATAATCTTTCTCTCTCCATTGACTTCAATACATACTTTTTTCGAAATAAGGTCCCATGGAGGTCCCCCGGAAAGGGAGGGACTTCGCCTCTCTATAGCGACTGTTGATTGTTTACCTTTCTCTCCCTCAGAGGTTCATTCAGTACTTGGCTTCCAGGACCTCCCTGTTCAACCTCAGCAATTTCATAGACAAAACTGGCTCTAACGGTAAGAACAATATCACAGTATCTGGAAAATAAAGAAACAGGCAACATAAACACAAAGAGAGCCATCTGGCAAATACATAGGAGGGACATGATTACACACACATGTAATTGTTCACACACTCATGCACATTCACACATGCATGAAAACAGATGCTGTACCTTTTGCCGCTCTGTCTAATGTTTCAGGGACTGTTGATATTGACTTGGGAAATATGTAAGACAAATGAATCTAAACCAATTTACATTAGCTAAAGATAATACTGATAGACTTGGTTTATATAAATACGTACTTATATGATTGAAATGTTGTCTTGTCCGTGTGGGATAAAGAAGAAAAAATAAAATGGTTAACAAGACAGCAGTGTGGTATTTCTCTCAGCCTTTTGTTAGATAAGTGTTACCCAGCACTCATATGGATGAAATAATGGTTGAAACTAACGGCAAATCAGATCTTTTAGCTTGAATTCATGATATTTGGGAAACGTTTGGAGTTGCGTTTTAGCCAATTATTTTAAGGAGCATTACTTTTTATGGTTTTCTTTTGGAAATAGGATGATTTTAAAGTCACAAATTAGTTGAAGTGATTCTTTTTCTTCTTCTTTTCCCATATTTTCTGTTCCCATGCTCTCAAAAAGTCTTATTTTCCGGCTGGAAGAAGCCACTGTTCAGTCCATTTGTAGAAAACATTGTCCCTTTCGGACAAAGATCCCTTAGGGTACAGTGAGCAGAACCATTTATGACTTTGCAGATTATTGCCTAATATAAAAAGCAAAAGTAACCAGCCTTAGAGGGCACTCCAAGTGCAGTCCTCTGCCAAGGCCATTCCATAACTCTCTATATTAATGAAAGCGAAACATAATTTGAGCATCAGCCCCATCATTTGGATCAGATCCCAAATTAAATGGGTTCTTCTTCGGTTAACTATACACCCTTCCATCAAGTTTCATACCTTCATGGCACTTTGGTCTCCGCCAACAGACTAACCAAGCTGAGAGGTAACGAACCCTGCCTGCTGTCTGACATACATTTTCTGTTTAGGCTATGACATGTCTACATTCATCAGACGGTACGGCCGATACCTGAACGAGAAAGCCTTCGCCTACCGCCAGATGGCTTTTGATTTCACCAGAGTCAAGAAGGGGTACGTTAATCATGGTGGTCAGAGAGTTGGTGGTCATAGGCCTTTCTTTCTCATGCCTACACTTTGTATGTTTACACTATGAGCTATATCCTATTGCAGTTGTCATCCCTGTGAGCATCTAACGCTCTGTTGTATTCTTCTAGTGCTGAGGGCGTGATGAGGACCATGACCACTGAGAAGCTGTTGAAAGGCATGCCTGTTCTGCAGACTCAGATTGACACACTCCTGGAGTTCGATGTGAGTCCCTATTCGGCTTGATACTTGCACTTGTTCTACAGCGCTGAGCAGCAACACAAGACAGAGGATTTCCAAAGTCTTCCAATTCTCACATGTCCTCTTCTCTCAGATTCATCCCAAGGAGCTGAACAATGGGATCATAAATGGTGCATTCCTGCTTCTCTTCAAGGACCTGGTCAAACTGTTTGCGTCCTACAATGACGGAGTCATCAACTTACTAGGTCCGTAGTCCATGGGTATCTTCACTTTGGCATTTCAAATACGAAAACACACAATTAATCGTAACCTGTTGTTCCCGTACGTAGAGAAATACTTCAAGATGAAGAAGAGTGACTGTAAGGAGGCCTTGGAGATCTACAAGAGGTTTCTGACCAGGGTGACAAAGATTGGGGAATTCATGAAGATGGCTGAGGTAAGGGACCAGCCGTCCACCTTCATAATAAAACATAGCGACATGAGAATGCAATGTTGTAACGCTTTTTCCTTTAACAGACAGTGGGAGTTGAGAAAAACGACATTCCTGACATCAACTACGTAAGTAAAGCATATCGTGCCTCTCAGATATTAACTGCAAAGTATGCGCTCCGTTCTGCTACAACACTACCATTCTATTACAAGCTATGAAACAGGCTAAACCATAAGTGAGAACAGTGTGTAAGAACAGATCTCCACTCAATGAGTTGAAAAATATAGTCTTCTATTTATAATTTTTACGCAAGGTTGTGCAACTTCTGCCTTTTAATACAGAAATCTGTAATAAGGTGTCTATTTCTTTATTTTATTAAACTACCAAATCACAGAAAAGACTTCCACTTTGTCGACCGTTTTGATTCTCGTCTGCATTTATTTTGCCAGTACCAGCTGATGGTTGTTTAACTGTATACCTTACATAGCCTACTGTAGTCTTTAGTTACATTCAACACAAACCCAGTGAAAACAATGTCAAGTTTCACTGTTCTGGATCCAAAAAACAAAAGAGAAAAATTCCACATTATCCCACAGTGAAGCTCATCGTCTTGTTTTGCATCTGACTCACACAACCTTATGCTGTACTGTGTGTGCGCTGCAGGTGTAGTCAGAGTAAAGACATTCAGCATTTCTCTGAGGTTTATTTGATTCCTGGATTGTGTCCAAGTATGCTTACACACATACATAAACACCCAAGACTTATCTGCAATAAATCTCCCCACCCCAGTGCCTCCACCCTGGCGTAGTGGTGGATTTAGCAGACTCTGACGACGAAGACTGTCCTTTTACACCCCTCGAGGACCCGGTAACCACAGAAACAAGGGGTGCCCTGGCTGAGTGCCTGTTTACAGGATGTAGTGTCAGCATGTTGATTCTACAGTAATTGCATTTCTGACAATCATATGGCGTGTGTGTGTTTATACATGCATGGGTATTGCAGTGGGATTTTCTAAAGCGCTGTCTACCCTTCTCTCAATTTAACAACTTCTTTGTCTCGCAGAGCCTGACATTGCGATTTAGGAGAGAAGTGGAAATGATGATAATTGATTGCTTCACTCTCAATTTTTTTCTCAGGCTCCCAGCAGTATCCTGGAGAGTCTGGAAACACACATGAATGGCCTGGAGGATGTGAAGGGTGGAAAGAAGGGGTAAGTCGTTGTCAGATTGAGTGTTTCTTCTTTTCAGTGTGAAGCCAGATCAGGAGAATTAGGATGACAATGACAAAAGATCTGAGTAAATTACGATTTGTTTTTCATGAAGAAAATGCAGTAACAGGCCAGTGTTTTATTCCTATCATTTCCTTTAATCCTTCCTCTCTTTTATCCCCCTTTATGTTCATTTGGAATCACCAGTGAAGGGTGAGCATATACTGTGTTTTGTTTGGAGTTTACTAACTTATTAGAAAACTGTGTAGATGTTATTTAGTGTACCCCTGACCCCCTCCCCACCACCACCACCAGATAAACTAACACATTAATCAGATGTGAAGTACATATTGACAGAAACATAACCCATAGCTAGCTAGGTTAACATGTTGAAATGTGGTGTGATAACATGTGAGAATAACATGTTTTGATAAACAGTAAGTCACGTCATGTGTATAATCACGTCCTGACATGCGATGTGCATCCGTATATTTCACAAAATGTAAAGTGTTACTTGACAAAACGAGAGCAATTTGAACAATTGGACATAGAATGTTTTGCTTTGGAAATGTAACCTTCATATGATCACATTTGATTTGTTTGTCTTTCATTTGTTCTTGGTGGGTTTCTTTCTTTAAAAAAAGACCAATTAACAAATGTAGTCTATGTCCAAGGGATCTGTCAATTCCATGCAAGAGAACTAATATGTATTCCACTCTTCCACTCTTTCAGGTCTCCAACAAAGGTAAGATGCACATTCATAACGGTCTATGTCTTTATTGAGCTCTTCCAGTCTGATGCACCACTAAAAATGTTTTTTTTCTTCTTGTCTATCCTCCAGGGGTCTCCGACAAACAACGTGTCTCCAACATCAACTCCAGCCAAATCTATTCCCACACTGCAGCCTCCTCCTGGGGAGGTTGCCGCTGCTGCTGCTGCTGCTGCTCCTGCTGAGCCAGCTGAAGAGTGAGTGTAAACTCTGTGACCTTCTCTCTCTTCACTGCCGTTCTATCATTCATTTGGCACTAAATGTTCTTTGCAACCTTGTTAAACCCTGCAGAAAGGCACAATGAGTAGTAGGGATGGGTATCGTTAAGGTTTTAACGGTACTACTACTTTTATCGATACCGCTTATCGGTCCGGTCTTTTAACGGTACTCTTATCGGTTCTTTTGGAGAGAAAAATGAGGTAAACTAACTATATGTTGTATGTCAGGGACTACGGATGGAAATGAGCTCAAAGCTAAAATCCGGCATATTTACACTTGAAGCATTATTATACATAATATACCTGACGTGGAAACATTACTCGTGGATGGGACTACAGAGCTACTAGAAAGACAGTCGAACCCGGTGCATTTCTCCGTCTGAACGTGGTGCACTTTTGCAAGATGTTTAGACAAATTGCTCGTGTTAGCGCCCTGACATGCTAAACTCTTATTGCACTTTAGGCAACGAGCGAGACGGGTAAAGTTTAACCACACTTCGGAGCGCGTTCTCTCCGCCATCTCCTCCGTGTGTGTGTGTTGCTGCATGTAGCAGCTGCGTGTGTGTAAACTGCCCCGCCCCCTCGCACACAGGCGGGGGAGAGAGATCTCTCGTCTGGATTGGAGAGATCGAAAATACAAAAAATGACGCATTTTGCAGTCTTTTTGCGTATTAGAAACGGAGTTGGCGACACTAAAACTGCAATATAATGTTTGTGTAGCAATAATACACATGACATATTTTTTAGATGTCTCCAGTACCGATAAAAAGACCGATAACGTCGGAGCTTAACGGTACCACGGTCTTTAATAATTCAGCCCCGGGGCCCGTTTAATACCGGGGCTCGGTACCCATCCCTAATGAGTAGGATCTTTCCCTGTGTAGGCACGCGTCCAATAGGAAGCTTCCAAAATCAGACACAACGTATACAAAAATGTTAATATATTGTGGCAAATACCAAGCAAACAAAGCTCTAGTTCTAATAAGAGGGTTAATTGGAGGGTTGGCTCATTGAGATTTCAATGCTTAGAAATGGTAACCTAATTCTGCCATAAAGAGCTCATTTGGCAGCAATTGTTATTTTATATATTTTTGATGATATAGTTGAAGTATTTAACAACCCATAAAAACTTCCTGGACGTACCAATCTTATTTTTAGCCATGCTAGCATTATGGCTCAATGGAAGGCTGTTGGTTAACCTCCCGAGTAAATATACCTCAACATACAACTATTAGATGGACGGTTTTCATGGTTCCCAGAGGATGAATCCTGCTGACTTAAGTTTCCTCTGACATCCCTTGAGCACAACCAGTCAACATTTTTAGTTTTGAGTGAAGTAAGGCAAGGCAAGGCAAGTTTATTTATATAGCACCTTTCAACACAAGGCAATTCAAAGTGCTTTACAAAAATGGAAGACATTAAGAAAATGGCATTTAAAATCAGTCATTAAAAAGTATCTTGAAAACCTATTGATTGTTTGCTTTTTGTTTCTGCCTCCTCCAGCTCCTTGTTGGACCTGGATCCTCTGTCCTCCTCCGGGCCCACAGGAGCATCATCAGCTGCCCCCACATCTTGGGGAGGTAAGTATCCTCCTTCCTGTCAGCTGCTGGTTCATCAGAAATAATCCACATTAAAGCATTTACAGTAAATGAGGCTGACGTTTAAATAATATATTTTCTTTTAGTGAACTGTCAAAAAACATGTATTTTCCTTTGTTTTCTGCTTCCATAGATCTTCTTGGATCAGGTGAGTTTCACTCTGCTTTCACTTCACTTCTAGTCCAGACAAGTGTAGATTTAAACATCCTCCAGGACGCCTAAATGTCAGTGACTTTCTTTTTTAACCCTTATCTGACATTGAGGCAACCTGTAATAATATCAGTGTTTTAATCCAAATCAAATGTAGATAGACTGTAAATGTACAAATGTCACATGGTTACCTCCCTGATTGTGTCCTCAAGCTGTTTTCTTTAGTCTGAGTAGTGTCTTTGTTTCTCTCTTCCTCTCTCCTTTCCCTCCACATACTCCATTGTCTGTTTTTGGTTAACAACGGGGGCTATTTTGGTTGTTTTTTGTTTGTTGGTTATGACCGGATGGTGTTGGATAATTTGACTATAATTTGGTTAACGTTTGGATTTTGCTTTGCTTGGACAATTCCTAAACTTCTTAATTGGCTTTAATTTGATTTGGACTTTTGTTTTGGCTTACTTTTGTTCACCGTTGTAACGGTAACTCCACTGGTTATTTTGGTTGCTCTTTTGGGGTTTATTTTGGTACATTTCTTTGGGAATTTCAAACACCCGGTTGGTACTCGCAGAAATGGGCGATTCCTTGCTATCTGAACCCACCCTCACGGCAGAGACCGCCCCCTCCACCACAGCAGCAACGCCCACCCCTGCAGCCGCAGAACCCGGAGTCTCTCTAGCTCCTCCCACTAGCACAGCAGCCGCCACCTCCACTGGTGCCGCAAATATGGATCTTTTGGGAGGTCAGTGAGCTTCCAGAAAATTCTCTAAGAAAGAATCACTCTGGGAAGCTCAACCTTAAAACCATCACACAAATTATGACGACTGCATGCTCAAACATACACAAAATGTAGAACTATGCTGATTTATCAATTATATTATATATATCTGAATTCTGCTAACAAATTTGCATCTAAAAAACAGTGACCTCCATCAATTCAGCTTCACATGCCTAGAATGCCTTTATTTGAAATCAACAAATAACTATCAAATATTCAAATCAATACATTTTGTAATATATATAAATGAACCAATTCATTAAATATGTTATTTAATTGACTAAACTGTTTATTTAAAAATGCTCCTTTTTACAATTTTTTCCTAATGCTAATCCTTATTTTTTGTTAATATGAGCACTTTGGGGCACATGAAATACAATGTTAAGAAGGAGACAATCACTTGCACCTACATATTATAATACAACATTCCTGTACAAATACTCCCCATACTTACAGACATTTCTGCATTATTTATTTATGTATAGCAACACACTCACCTTCAGCTTTTAACATACTGATAAAGTCATTCTCCACATGCGTCTTGTTTGATAGGCAGACATGCTTTTCTTTGACCTCAGTGAAAAGCAATTCTATCAGACTGTGTCACATGGCTACAGCTACAGTTGGCGACTGAAACACTTGTAGGTCTTCAGGCTTAGTTTTTACCTTGTGCAGTAGATGAATAGTTACTGTAGTGCCTCCTGTCTGTATTCCCATTTGTCTATTCATCTGTCAGTCATTAATGTCTGATATCAATGCTGCAAACTACAATTTTTAACAGATACTCAACAATATTTTCTAAGCTTACCTTTTTTTTCTGATGCTCTCTTATCCTTGTCATGTTTCCTGACTTTTTTTTCTCTTTTCATCTTTACTTCTTCATCTGTTTCTGTCTCTGTGGGCATCTCTGTCCTCTGATGGGGTTTGGGTGAACCTCAGATGCCTTTTCTACACCTGCTCCTGCCCCTGAGGCCCCTGCAGCCGCTGCTGAAGGTGGCACCGCCGCCACGTCCGCCCCCGCCGCCGCCAACGCTGGAGCTGGTGGGTGACAGAAAGTTTGTCTGTGTGAGCGTCTGTGTGAGTGAGTGAGATAATCCAGTGGTCGAACTTAACTCTGTAGTAATAGTACTATAAATAGGCCAATTTAAAGTAGCAACCTAAAAATGAGCATACAGTTAGATGTACAATTTGGTTTAGTATATTGGGTATGTAACATATTTATGATCCCTTTATATACCTTTTTTTAAGTGAGTTAGCTAGAAAAATGTAAAACTCCGCCCACAACCGTGTTTCTGAAGATAACGTTAGCTTAATTAGCTTGCTAGCTACAGTGGACCATAGCCTTTTTTTAAGACTACATTTTGACATAACACAGTAGAAAGTACAAAGAAAAGTTGTTGGTGTGTTAAGATTTATATCAATCTCAGAGCGAGGTTAGTTGTTAACCCGTTTCCATTCTTTGTGCTAAGCTAACGGGCACCTGGCTATAGCTTCCAGTTTACAGGAAGCAGGGTTGTAGCTTTTTCTCATCAAACTTTTGGCAATAGACTGACCAAAATCTAAACTAATCTTAAGTACATTTAGCTGACAATGGTAATGAACATTTACCAAACAACCGTGATCACGGTTAGAGTTAAGGTGTTTTGCCAGTTGAAAGCCAATACCAGATTTACTCTAGTTTTTGTATAAGCTTTGCTTGTCGTTTTGTCTGGATTGTTCATCATTTTTTGATTTTTTTCTTGCACCTGGTCCCTACGCCTTTATAGAGATTGACATACAGAATAACCCCGAACAACGCAGAATTAGACAATTCAGCATATACAAACAAACCCCACTCACTTTTAGTTGGTCAAAAATTATGTTTGATAGTTCCACCACTGGTTTGAGTGCTTTGCCCGTGATGTTTATTGATTGTTTGTGTCGATGTGTATGTGTGCATTTCTGGTTGATCTCAAGTTTTAATCAGGGTTTCCTTTCAAAGCTTTGTGCAGGGACAGTAGGCGTACAGATTTGCTATTCGTTTCGTTGGGTGTTTGAAAATAACTGTTGTTGTTACCATGGCAATTGAAGACAATGCTCTTGTCTCTTATCTTTTGGCATCAGAAGATTTGAGTATTGTGTTATGGAGAAGCTTGCCTGTTGTGGTTTTCTGGTGATTATTTTATCCTATAGGTATGGTTTCGATTTCACAGATTTAGACACTGTAAAGGTGTTTAATTGGTTTCACTTCATTTATTTTCACAGTTGCTATTTTTAGTTGTTTCGACTGACAGCAGGAGTGTGTTGGAGCTCTTCGATCATTCCTCTCCGATTCTTTTCCTCCTTAACTTTCATTTGTATAGCAGTATTTCCATCATCATCACATAAAACATGTCTAATCTATGTTGTATTAAAGCCACTGACTAACACCATCCCTTCCTATTCATGTGTCACATTTCTTCCTCACCCCCCCCCCCCCCCCCCCAATTCTTCCCCGAAGACCCTTTTGCTCCCTCGGACAGTGGCACCAACGCAGCGTCTTCAGGTCTAGACCTTTTCGGCATGATGACAGTGGACAATAATAATCTGGGTAGCTCGCTGGATGCCTGTTTTAACTCTGTGGTGCCCCAGCCTTCTCCCTCCCCTTCCCCTTCACCGCTCTTCACCTCCACACCCAGCACCATCAGCACCACCGCAACCATTTCAGCTCCAAGCGTCGCCAACCCTGCGACTGACATTTTCAGCGGTAAACATTAGAGATGTGTGTGGTATCGGGTATTAATCCAATGTCTTGTGCTCTTATTGATAAACCCCCTCCTGATTTCTTTATCCACCATCCTCTTTTATTCTTCTTTGTGGGTTTCATCAGACTAATGTGCACATATTGAAGGTTTTTCAGTTGGCTGTTGTGCGTGAGAGCATCCTCACCATTCTTTCAAGTGTTTGAGCATTTTAATATTCCTGTCTCTGGGTGCGCAGATCTCTTTGATTCCATGCCAGACACGAACTTCACCAAAGCAGAGCTCGCTCCCAGTGTTGACTTGTTTACAGCAGGTACCTTATTGCACCTACTCTTGTGCGCTCTCACTCTCATATCCTGTCTTGCCCTGCCTGTTCTTCAGCTTTGTCCTTGGCTTTGATCAGGGAAGGGGAATGAAAGGAAATTAGATTGCTCTCTTATGGGTCAGCGGGAAGCTATTGAGCTGCCTGAAACATTTACTCAATCACTCTTACCTACTTTCCTATTCCAGCATGTACTGCGTGCACTGCAAATGCAAATGTACATTATAATGAATCATGGCCAATCAATAGCTTGGGTGTGTGTGTGTGCGTGTGCGTGTGCGTGTGCGTGTGCGTGCGTCTGTGTGTGTGCGGTTTGGGCTCTAAACAACATCTCCACCTTGCCCTCCCCAGCGGATTTGTTCGGCTCCCCTGCGCCCATCCTCTCATCCGCACCCCCACCCAAAATTGACACGGGAGCCATCATGAACCTGTTTGGTGGTGGGTAACTCACATGACTGCAGCCCTGCATTCACTCTGCCTGCCCTGTCCATGAACGCATCATCAGAGAAGAGGAGTAGAATCTGTGAAACATCAAATGAAACCACTGATATTAGTACTAGGCTCTATAAATGGTCATACATACTGGGTAGTTAAGTTGTTGCATTTAACTTTTGTAAGGAAAACCTTGTGAATTCTCTCTTCGTGTGTTGATCTCGGAAGTATTACAAGCATAGCTAAGATCAAGTTGATCATGTTGAAATAGTCTAAGGATCTATGGACTGCAAGCACTTGGAACTTTCTGTTTTACTTTCCTCGTTTTTTGCTGGCTTTAATGTCTTGAAAATGCACGTGGGTGCTCTACTGCGACTGTCAATGAGTATGGCGTAATGCTGAGATGTGTGTATGTTTGCATATGAGTGTGTGTTTTACATTTTAAAAGACGATGTGTCCTGGTTTATGAAATACACATGTATTGTGTATTCCGTTCTCTCTAACTCTAAAAACTTTGTTTGACATTACCAGCGTGAAGCCGAAGGCTGACTATTACCCCTTCTTTGCCCTTATGCTGCGATGGGAATGGCTCATGAATCTACTTTGACCTGGAATGCCATGGTTTGGTATATTTTTGGGTTGACTTGCCAGAATCCATAGGAGGAGAAGCCACAGCCGCTGCTGCTGCTCCTGCTGCCCCCGGTGCTGAGCTCATGTCAGGTAAAAAAAAAACTAAAATTATACTCTGCATGCATGTGTGTACAGTGGAGGGCATTCCAAAATGTTGCAAACATTTTGGTAAAGCACTGAGCTGCAGTCATGGATGGATTACCATGTGTGCAATTTTAATCTTCAGTCTAAACTGAATCCTGAATTAATACTAAAGTTCCGCTGCAGTTTTTAAACTAGCAGCAGAACCTGAGAGCCCGGCCATGACTGCAGCTATTGTTCATAAGTATGTACATTGTACATGATTCTATGGAAGCCCACAGGGGACTATATTAAAATGATCAGAAAAACCAAAAAATGTAACTGTGCTTCCACAATAGCATTATCATTTACACATACACTATATATAACGTGTGATATGTGTTATTTGAGTAAAATACAATACTGGCGCATGGGCATTCCATAACTGCCTTCAAATAAAATAGCTTATTGATGATCAACTTCCAAAGGCATACCCCACTATAAAGTGGACAACATATATTCCAATTTGGAGAAAAAAATGCGATATAAACATAATTATATATATAAATGTGATTTTCCATTTATTCATGCAATATCTAAATCAACATTTATTCATTTGATAAGACTTAAGGTGTCATTCATTCTCTGTAGGCAGTACTAATATTATCATTTGAATAAAGACCCCTGTGAGCTTTCCTATACCACCTTATTATTATTATACTTATGACATGTACTTCAGAGCCATTTATGAACATCTTCCTTTCAATTGTAAAGAACACTGTTTGGGCAAAATGGTTGTTTTGTTGACTCACTGTTTCTATTAACTTTGGTAAAGGTTAATGAAATAGTTAGCAGTTTGTTTATCTGCTAACTCAATCTGAACACTGAATCATAATTCATTTAAGAGCTTGTGCATGACTATTTTTAACACTCGTCATTGGCTCAGTATTGAAGGAGAGTCACTGTTAGGTGCTACATATTCAAACTACATCCATATATGGTCAAATTACCGTCATCGTTGCATCACCTCATTTGCATAGTGCTACCGTGGGCGTTAGTCTCCGGGGGGAATTCCTCTGATCTGTGCCACCTTTCACTTTCATACGACTGGTATCCCCGGTTACTGTTACCGTGGCAACATGATCTCTGCTCACCTGGTTCCCAGTCATCTCCTGTCCAGTGCCATTGGTCTTAATATTATATAACTGATGGTCTGCAATACAACTGCTTAAGGCTTAACTCTTTCTTTCCCCCTCTCTTTCTATCATTCATGCAATAAACTGTCACTGTCACCCGCTCCTTTAAAACCTCATTGCATTTATTTTTTCTCTCTTCTTCTCGCATCTATGCTTTTTTTTTACTTTCCTCTCTCTTTCTCCTTTCCTCACTCTCTCCCTCTCCATCTGGCTCTTGGGCTGGCTCATTGCTTGCTTCCTGCCATTTGATTGGGTGAGTTTCCTTGCTCTTTAACACGCTAATTTCCCACAGTGCACTGCTGCATTGCAGTGGTGTAAGGCAAAGCTCAGCTGCACTGTCCCTTCCACCACGAGACGCCTGACAGAGTGTGTGCAGTAGCTTCTAGCATTTATCCCAGCTTCATCTTAACTGCAGTGCTTTTGCCCTCTTCATAATTTTTGCAGCAATTACATACAAACAGCAAAGGCCCGAAATATGTATAATTTACCAACAAGCACTGACAATGTATTGTTTACACTGTGCATGTTGTTATGATGGTTATAATGCAGTACTATTGGTTGCACATATGGTCACAAATGATGCTTTATATATATCCTTCATACATTTTGGACTAGGTGTTATTACCTTTGCCCATATTACAAATGAACAAAGTAAAGCAGCTGACCTGATTGATGTCTCCTGACTTTATACAGGTTGCACTAACTGACATCATCATCTTCACAAAATTGTCTATTTTACTTACTGCTCTAGATTTGATTAAATATCTTGTTTTGTGATATTAACGCTCAAGCTCATGCCAATGCTCCTCTCGTCCCACTGTTGTCATGGAGACATATATTGGTTGTCATAGTAATCCCCAGTAGTAAGGAGGGTTGCTAGTGTGAGAATTGCTTGCATGTAAAGACGCTAATATCTCCCCTGCTCTCCCTCCTTGCCTCCTCATCCCTTCCCTCCTTCCTGTAGTATTTGATGGACTAGGCGATGTAATGAAGCCCACTCTGACCCCTCAAGGGGGGGATGTTGACACCTCCATGGCTAACATGGCAAGTAGTAAGTAGTTGTTTACATAGATATTGATTTTAATACTGTGGTGGAAAACATGCTAATTTGCTCTCTTTGTGAGAGATGAGAAGACTGATGCAACCATGATATTTGTATGCTAGATTTGAAACTTGAAGCTTTTTTTTAGCATAAAGACTGTTCACTGCAACTGTGACCAGTACATATAAAGCTTATTAATTAATACATTGTATATTGTTCGTCTAATCAGTACAATAAAGTTAAAAAACAATTCAGCCTTTTATGGCATTTATCTTCTCATCATAAAAGCTAGTAAGGCTATTTAAAACTATGTTATTAATTATAGCGGTGCAACTAATGATGATTTTCATTGTTGATTATTGTGTCAATTTCTTTTTTTTAATTTACTGTTTGGTCTAACGGATGTTTTGAAAAAGGGAAAAATATCCATCCCAACTTTTCAGTGTGTAAGATAATACAAAAAATGTATAATTGTTTTGTCAATCCAAAACCCAAAGATATTCAGCTTAGCTGAAATCTTGATATCAGACAGGATGAATACAGCATTTTTTGCATTAAAAATAACTTAACATAACCATTAATTATTACCAAAAAAAATGGTTCAGTCAATCCTTTAGTAGAAACCTTTAGCAGACTATAAGTCACTATCAGTAGCTCCTATTTATTAAAATGAATATTGTAACTCTTTTTGATCCTGTATGGTCATTATAAAGTAAGTAAATGAAAACAGTGATGTTGCAGTACCTCTCTCTCTCTCTCTCTCTCTCTCTCTCTCTCTCTCTCTCTCTCTCTCTCTCTCTCTCTCTCAGATCTCTCAATGGGAACCCCAGCGGCAGCTCAGGTAGCTCCCCCCTGTTGGGGTGCCCCCATGGTAAATGTTGTCTGTGTGTCTCATAGCATGGAGTGGAGCCGCATGGCAGCTCAGTCAGGGCACCAATCACAAGCACTGCCTTCATCTGGCTCTCCAGGTTTCAGGTCCAATCACAGACCCAGGAAACTGACAGGGGTGGCAGTGGAAAAAATATATATATATTAATTTAAAAAACATATAGCAAACTTTAAGTTACTTGTAGATTTAATGTAAGTTACACATCACATAGAATGTATAATAGAGCACACGTGCTGATTGTAAATACTTACAAATATCCAAACTTATAATTCTTATTTGTCGCAAATATCTACTGGAGAGTGATGAAGTGGCAAATATTAATGCTGAATTAAGAACCTGTTCCTTCGAAACAGCTGATTTTTCTTCTTTTAAGCTTATATTTTTATAAAACTTGATGGAATTGAGTTTAAATCTGAACGTGCCCCATCATTGACACATTTGCTGCTTTTGGATATTTCAGTTGTCTTTTGGCAACAACAGAAATGACACTTTCATCAGAAGGCTATCTGCAAAAAGCTTCCTCTCTGCCCCTATAAAAGAAAAATCATTGTGCATATGTACATTAAGGACTATTATCAACGTTTAGGTTAAGTTCGGGCCCTAATTGTGTGTTCATTTGTCAAGTTTGGCGTGTCTGTCCGTATTCCTTATCATCTGTGTGTGATACTGGTATTTCTTTACATAATGTGTAACTTATGTTGACGTCTGTGTATTGTTTTGCAGTGTGCGTGTGTCTTATTATGTAGTGTAGTAACATCCCAACTCGTCCTCTCCCTCCCCTCCACACCTTTAGACCGTACCAATGGGTGTTCCTCCTTTTATGGGGACTCACCCCTGCTACAATATGGTAAGACCACCAGTCCAGTATGGTCTAGTAATGTCTTACTCTGGACATTACAAGACATTGATGGACAATTAGCCCTTAAGGTGGCCCTCACACCCATCAGATGGCAAATATAGTTCCTTACTGTCTCTTTTTTTCTCCCATAAGCCCGGGGCACCAGGAGCTACCATGATGTCCATGGCTAGGCCAGGCCCCGGAGCACCGGTAACACACTCACTCTTTAACTCGTTACTGCTGCTCTGACAAAAGAGTTAAAGTGCTAAAAGTAAATGTGTCTGCAGATGTCTCCCGGAGCGGCCCAGAGTCCCAGAAAGCCTGCACCCCCGAGGAACGCTCTGGATGACCTCAACATTAAGGACTTCATGTAGACCGGCTGACCTGTAAAGCCTCAAGGTATATACACACAGAAAATAGAACACTTCAATGCAAAGTAGGGCTGTGCGATTATGACAAAAATCATAATCACGATTATTTGGGTCAATAATTGATATCACGATTATTAAATAGAGACTAAGAATTAGTAACAGTCAACTGGCATTACCGACTGGAGGTTTTCCAAAGAAATTACGCAAAATGAAATTTAGTCAGTTTTTCCATTTCAAACTTTTCACAAATGTTATATGTCATAGATTGCATGTGTGTATATGGAACTAAAACTTAACGTATTGATGTAACGCTATCACCTATCCTTTATTGTCAGTTTTTATAGTATTCCTATAACAGCAACTACATGTAACTTATTACATATATTTCCAAATAACATAATACCTGATACAAAATCAAGTTAAAAGGCTATACATCCTATGATATGGTCTTTAATATCTATACTGTAATAGTGTAAATATATATCTTTTATTTTTTTATTTTTCGGTCAGCATTCGAAATTAGCAGAATTAAAAACAGCTTTGCAAAGAAAAGAAGAGTTTCATATACAGTGCAAATAAGCTAATAGAGATAGACGGTTTAACATTTTAAATTTAGATGAGACTAGTTTGTCTTCTATCTCTTGCAAGTCCCCAAACTTAATGGAATTGATGTACATGATACAAATGCCAAAAACCAGTCTGCCAGTCAGAAAACATTTCCAGTCAACACATTTCTGAATCTCCTTCTTTGTCTCTCTCAGCCTAATTAGACTTCACCAATTTCTATTGAGAGTACTTGTTTTAATTAAGTCTCATTTTTCTCTCCCTCCTCTGTAGGTTTGTCATTGTGTCTGGAGCTCTGTGGATGTGGATGTCTGCACTTCCCCCACTGCCTTCCCCTCCGTCATGCCCCAGCCCCTTCAGCCAACCAGCCATTCCATCTACGATCTTTGCCCTCTGACCTCCTACCCCTATAAAAAAAAAAAACCCTGCCCTTCTTATCTCATGTTGTAGCACAACTGTGAATGTGAACCCTAGATACAGAAAAACAAAACTCTGTTTATGTGTGTGTGGGTGTGCGTGTAATTCAGTGTTAACCTTTACTTAATATACTATGGAAAAATGAACAAAAAAATAATAAATGTGTATTTAGATTCATTATGGATTTCCGCGTATCAGCTGACTTGGAAGGGTGGATAAATGTTGGTTTCTTTGCGCATCTCCCAGACGAGGACTGTGTTGTTAAATGTGGACTGTGTTCGGTGTGTGTAACTTCACTGGCCAATCCCCACTCCCACTCCTCTACCCCTATCGTCCAAACTAATACTGAGCTATGTTTATGTCATTAAAAACTTGGTTGTACCTATATCTGCTTGGCCATCCATCCGCCCACCTGTCTACTTTTTTGGAGAACAATTGTACCTGAAAACAACTGGCACTGCAAATCTGGATTTATCATCGAACACATGGAATTGTGTTCATTTTCATTTTTTTTCTTAAGGGATTGTCATTAACATGCAACAATGTGTGAACTCTGTTGAAATTGACATATGCATTTGAGAATATTTTAAATGATAGATTACACATATTTTCTTTAATCTTTATTTTGAGAGAACAAAATGTATCATATATTTTTAGTTATGTCAAATTATAAGGTTGAAAATAATGCAAGTAGACAAACATTTCCCCACCTTTGTATATACCTCTCAATCTGTAATCGGAGGCAGTATCAGTGGAAACTTTGGCTCGAGTGTTTACTGTTGCGCCCTCAGCTGGTGTGGAGTGGTACTGCATCCTGATTCTCTTAGAAAACTATTTTGCTTGTCTGTCTCCTAAAAGATGACTTAAAGTTAAGGTGGAACTCAAAGGGAAAAGTAAATATTTGTGTATGTGATTGGGATGTGGCCTCGTTCCTCTTTGAGTGAGGCAGCAGCGGTCGGTACATTTGATGGTGTACAGGCACTGGAAGTCTCGACGACTCTCACTGTAAAGCACTCAAGTATTTGCTTGATGTTCTGTGTGTTGTTTATTTCCAAAAGTGACTGTATCTTAATCCATTGTGGCATTAACAAAGTGTTGACAGAAAAACAAAGATGACTATGACACGTAAAAAATACAAAAAGAATGTGGATAAATAATGTTTGCTAAGTATTCAAATGAAGGCTGTGTTGTTTATTGGGGGGATTGTTATGGATGGCATCGTTCTTTTTCCCTCACCCCCACCTGCATGTGAGTCCAAATGAGATGCAATAAAAGACAAATACACTGATCCAAACTACCCTCACGGCTCATCACTTATGTCTTAACATTTGTATTTATTGGCATGAATAATTTTCTTTGGAGAACAAAATGTGTTTAAGGCATGAAAATGTATGTTCAAAAAGGACAAAAATACAACACAATATATTTTAAACAGGTAAAATGAGCACCAACAGGTTGTACCTATGTATGATTCTATACAAAAGTAAACAAATCAAAGTGTGTGCACTGTGCAACAAAGAAAAGAAAAAATATGGTTTTGCCTTTTCCTTTACACAACTACAGTTTTAGAGTTATAAGTGCACCCGCACTGCGAGGGGGACCCAAGTTCCCATCAGCAAAAACAGGTCGGTTTGCTATCCTGGCTCCAAAATGGTGGAATGAGCTCCCCATTGACATCAGGACAGCAGAAAGCCTACACATCTTCCGGCGCAGACTGAAAACTCATCTCTTTCGACTCCACTTCAAGCAATAAAATGAAAAAAAAATGTTTCACTTACAGTAGATACTAACTAAGCACTTATATACTAACTAAGCACTTACATACTAACAAAGCACTTATATACTAACAAAGGACTGGCTTATCTAAAGCCTATTGAGTATCACTTGAAATGGTTTGGCTCTATGAAATCTAATGTACTTATATGATTCTGTTTTCTTCAAGTTTGTATCTTCTTGGTCGAATGCACTTATTGTAAGTCGCTTTGGATAAAAGCGTCAGGTAAATGAAATGTGATGTAATAAGTTAGGTGTTGCTGAGAAAGACAGACACATGTAGGGTTAAGAAAATTGAGAGTTAACAATGACATTTTAACTCATTCACAAGATTTCCCCCTGTCTCCAAATGAACTACTAAATGGCTGATTAGTCCACAGATCCAAAACCACGTGACATGTGCAGCCTTACTGGATTATAGATTTGTCTGACAAACTGTCACTCAAGAAGAGGTGAGCTGGTCTCAGATCACAATTCCTGGGTCTTGAAGATTTTTTAAATATTATTTAAAAAATGGCATACAGTAGTTTTGCTTTTGTCCTTGAGCTATGAGTCCATTACAAATATTCACAAAGGAAAATTATCTTTTAAAATAAGAGATATACTACATATATACTGAATATAGGCCGTTAAACAAACTATGTTTTTTTTACCAAGTATTTTAATAATAAAGGCATTCAATTCCAACCTTATAAGACTAAGTTGTGTTTATAAGAGCCGGGGTCATTTTGTTGTCAGTCTTTAACATGTTGGTTATTGCTGGAAACTAGAAATTCCTAGACTTTTATAGTAGGCTACCCAAACGCCACTATAACCAGGTAAACTTTACCTGGTAAAGGAGAAGTCCCGAACTTCACGCTTTACAGTCACCCACATTTGCATCATTAAGAACATAGCTTCATGCCACTGAAATCTATTTTCTTGCCCATATTTGACGAGGGCACATGATATTTTAGCCAAAACTGCGGGCTTTAGTTACTCACGCTTTGGACTGCTGTGGGAGGAGACAGCAGCCATCTTGGTCAAGTTTGAGTGACGTTCACCGGTGAGAGCTCTGGATGTTCGTGGCCACCTGGTGGCTGCTTCAAAGCACAGACAGAATTGAGGCTTATTTGTATTCGCCTGATTGAACCGAAAATGTGTATGCCTCGCAAAGCACGATGGGAAACATTCTCCTTTTATCTTGAGCTCTCCAGGCATTTATGAATATTGAATTGTCATTGTGTTGATTACTATGTCAGAGTTTTTGAGAGTTTAGAGTCAACAGGTAAAGAGTGCACATTTCCAAAGCATACAGATATTTTTGAAATTGTAAATGTTGTATTTTAGTGTAATTTCATTCAATTTACAGTCAAAGTTCTGGTAAAAGAGACATTTAGAATAATACATGGGATCTTGGTTATGATAGTGTTATTGCTTTTCAAATTCAATGACGTGTTCAAAACAATGGTGAGGATGTGCAGTATTTCTTTATTTTTTTTGTTGAAAAATAAATAATTGGAAGTGTATTTAACAGACATTTTATGGGAACTCAACAGATGATTATCATTTAAAATGGCTACTTCGTGAACTAATTTAAGAACAGCACATATTAAAATTGTCATTATAGCTGTTCACAACACATTTGCTAAAAGCATTCTTGCATCTTACAATATATAAACGATATTGAAGCATATAACACAATAATGAAAGGTCGGCTGCATGGCATTGTGCGTGAGGCTGTAATGCAGCCATGACACATAACCTATAGAGGCCTGCTATTGGCTTTTAAGTACTTGAGGAAGGGCATGATTTTAGTTTTTAATTGGCCCTTCAGTTTTTCTTTTAAGATTTACACTTTAATAAAAGATACTTTTAAAGTGCTTTTATATACACCAGCCCAGGTCATTAAGTCTCTATTGTATCGCTTGGTCAAATCTCTTTACAGCGTCTTGGATCTCCATGGATCCAGTGACAGATCTGGGCATATTTGGGTGCCGTAATCCTCACTGCAACATTAAAGTCCCTCTGCTCACCTCCTTCTACCTCCACCCACTGATGGCCTGAAAACACCCCAATCACTCTTCGCTGCCACTTCCCTTTCCCGCCTTTCTCTCCCACTTCCTGTCTCAGACGGATGTAAACGCCTGCACCTGTGGCGCCCGGCTGCGCGTCACAGTGCTGGTACATTAAATCGAGAGACTGGTTTGCCACCGAACAAAACCGGTACACCACCTTCTCGTTTCCACGTCCGTCACGGCTTTTGTCAGCGTCATAGCCTGAAAAGTGGATTCGTACCAGGGGGGTAGCGGAGGGCGCCACTCCCAGCTTCATATACTTCAGTTTGAGGGGTCGTCTCAGCTCCAAGAGAGCGTAGTCGTAGTCAGGGGACACGGAGCTGGTGAAGCTCTTGGTTTGGATCCACCCTTGAGGGATTCTGGTTTGTTTAACTCGCGTCCAACGGAAGACAGGCTGCTTCATGGGACCAGGACTACGTCGTATACGTTTCCTCCGTTTCCCTGCTCCTACTATAATCCCATGATCAGCTACACCCTCCTTACCATATTTTCTTCCCCTGAGCCTACTTCCTTTTACTCCCTTTTGCCATACATCTCCATCTATACTATTCCGCTCCTCATCCTCCTCCATTATCTGCTCCTCACCTTTCACCCCCTCTTGATTCACCCCACCTCTCTGCCGCCCTCCTTGCCTCCCAGGCCCTCTTCTTCTTTTAGTCTTAAGCTGCAACACTCCTACTCTCAGCCTTCTGGCACTCTCTAGGTAGTCCCTCCCGTCATGGATGCAGTGTGCCGCTGTCAGCACGTGTTTCGGGGATATTAGGACTCCGGAGCAGCCTGTGGAGAGACGCACAGCAGTGGAGAAAGGATAGTTGGTGATGAAATGCGAGTCAGAGATCACAAAGCGTCCATCTGCTCCGTAAATCTCCCGTTTCCTACGGGTGGGAGCAGGGGAGTGGGCCGGTTGTCCTGTAGATGTCTGGTTCAAACCCTGCAAGATGATATCTGTATGTGTGCGAGTGCCATCCTCATTCATTGTCTCATATCCCAGAATCCTCTCCTGCTCAGTTTGGTTCATAGATGGTAGGTGGCTTTGACACTCTATTCCACAGAATGTTTTTGTCCCTTCTTTCTCCTCATCCTCCTCCTGTCCTCTGAACAAAGGCACTTGTAAAGGCTGTGTGTGTGTGTCCAGCAGCAACGGCAGGTTGTGTCTGGTCCACCTGTTTGCCTCGCTGCTCTCTTCTTTACCAAAAACTGCAGAATCTGTCAGGGCTGCTGCACAGAGCAGCAGACACATGAAGCGATTGAGTCCCATCCCACTGAGAAGAAACAGAGACCGGGATAGCAAATATCAAATATCAAAAGTGTTAGAGAGATATACCATGGACTTCTTTATCTTTTTCTAATGATATCAAGCATATAGAAAATGCATGTTCATGTTCACATAGCTCATTCTAGCATTGGTTAAGCTATATATTATTATGGCCGGCAGAGGGTGCACAAGCTCAATTTTTAAACAATAAAACGCTGAGCAGCAAAATGTAGTGTAATATTTTACCTTACCATGAGGTAAAGCATGAACTACTACAAAACATCCATTAGGAATACAGCCAATAGTATCATAATTACATGCAATATTAATTTACAGTGACACAAAGGACTTTTTTGACATTACTATTGACTATTTCTAAGGTAATAAAGTATTATGGTCTGGTTATAAGTTATATTAAAAGTTATGCATAGTAAATACGTAAGCCAGTCTCAAACCCATGGTAATAAACAAACGAGAACTGGTAAAAATACAGAATACATAGCTTTTGCAAACAATATTAAGAGGAGAGATGGTCAAGAAATACAAACGTCTCAACCCTTTCCTACCTGCAAACCTGGAAAAATATCCCAAAACTTCCAGTAAATGTTCTTTTTCTCATCAATAAAAAATCCTCTCCATCCAAACAGCTTCCAGCAGACTGGCTTCCATCATGTAATGGGCAACTGGAGCACGAGGAGAAGCTGTGTGCAAGGTCCTCAGAGAAATCGACATCCCACTCTGATGCAGAAAAAAAAAAAAACAGGCAGAAAAGGGGGAGTCAGCCATAAGGGGGCCCATGAATGAAGTTCTGGATCGTGTGATGACATTAGATTTCGGGTCAAAAGTGGAGTCATAGGAAGAGAATTTGAGGTATTTCTCTCAGATTTCGCAAATGTTTTGTTTACGTCAAAGATACCCACAGAACAGTTTTGATTTCAATAGAACCTTTTTTTTTTTAAATGTTAACCTATTTACACAGAGAGTTACCAAGAAAACATTGCCTTATAGCATTTACCCAGTGCTTTTGTGGTCAGAAATGTAAGTTTTAAAGTGATGTTTACACACTCACACACACACGCCACTCTGAGCGCCAGAGGCATGCAGCTACAGTTCATGCAGGCGCTTTGCGTGAGACCTTCCCTCAAATGCTCGAGGCCAAGGCAAGAGGGGCAGCGGTCATGGCCGTCCTCAGGCTCAAGAGTGAGCCATTATGTAGATAGCCAGATGCAACGTAACCGGGAGCAGGTGCGAGAACACAGCCTTCACCAGTTACCTGCTGAACGGAAAGAGTAGAGCAATGCTACTACTCGCCGAACACAAAGGGGGATGTAAATGTCCTACACCCACGTTACCAGCAGCGGGAGCGGGGAGCGTGAGCACTGCCTTCACCTAGCTGAATTAAATAAAGAAGCTTAACAGGACAGCTTAGCCAGGCGGCTGCTGCTAACAATCAAGCAACATGTTACCAGGAGCGAGGGCGAGAACACTGCCTTCACTGGTTGAGTTAATAACAAAGTTCAATGATAACACAAAGCTAAGACCAGAAAACTGGCTTCTAAAGAAAAAATAGCACGTGTAATTACGGTGCTTATCCCAAGCATCAGCCAAAGTGGCTGCACAAGCAGGACACAGTTAGGCTGAGCCACGCTACTGCTACTAGCTAAACAGAAAACACAGCTAAAGCTGGAAACTCAAAATGCTAATGATAGCTTGGCACAACACCACGATCAGAAAAAGCACAAAAGAGCACAACAAGGGCAACTCCTGGGAGAGGGAGCGGAAACGCTGCCGTCACCAAAAAGTTTACGCCAAATAGCAAACAAGACAGTAATCAGGACAACTTAGCTGGGAGAGGGAGCGAGAACACTGCCATCACCGACCAAGCAGACACCAACCTGTCCGTCGAAGTTTCTGCGCAGCCGGCCACAGCTCCTGAAGGACGAGTAAGCCCGCGGCTCCGACTGGATCAGCCACGAAGCTGCACGCAGCCAGCTGCTTGTAGAGAAATCCTTTAAATCAAACGTTCCAACTGAACGCTGAACAAACAAAGTCACCTGTGACCCACGTGACACCGGCTATATCTGCCGGTGTCGTCAGAGGATCTGTTCCTTTCATCTTCTCATGACGAGACGGCGTACAGAGAGGAGGTCAAAAACCTGGTCAAAAACCTGACATCTTGGTGCCAGGATAACAACCTCCATCTCAACATCAGCAAAACAAAGGAGCTGATTGTGGACTACAGGAAGCAGCAGGGAGAGGGACACGCCCCCATCGCCATCAATGGGACTACGGTGGAGAGAGTCAAAAGCTTCAGGTTCCTTGGGGTCCACATCACTGAGGACCTGACATGGTCTCTTCACACCACCACCATCACCAAGAAAGCTCGACAGCGGCTCTTCTTCCTCCGCAGGTTGAGGAGGTTCAAAATGGATCCCAGGATACTCTGCAACTTCTACAGGTGCACGATAGAGAGTATCCTGACTGGCAGCATGACGGCCTGGTACGGCAGCTGCACCGACCTCGATCGTTAGGCTTTACAGAGGGTGGTGAAAACTGCACAGCACATCACCAGGACGGAGCTGCCATCCATGGAGGACCTTTACTCCCAGCGGCTCAGGAAGAAATCACTACGGATTATCAAAGACCCCCATCACCCCAGCCACAAACTGTTCTTTCTGTTGCCGTCTGGCAGGCGGTACCGCAGCATCCTGGCAAGGACAAGAAGATTCGGAGACAGTTTCTTCCCGCGGGCAGTGAGACTGTTAAAAAACTGTTGAAACAACATCAAACATTCATCTGCTACTCAGTAGTATGTATCTAATACCTAATATATATATATCATTCCAATAACTTGTATATAGACTCGTACTGCACTATTCCACATCATAACTTTATTTCATTTTTATAACTATTATTATTTTTGTATTGCTCATGCTCTTATTGTTATTATGTTATTATGTTGCATTGTTGGAGAAGCCTGTGACATAAGATTTTCAACTGCATAATTACTCTGTAGCTATGTCAGATTGACAATAAAGAACCTTGAACCTTCTCGCTGCGCGAGAGTACCGTGGCTACATTCTTGTAGCCTACAGCGTTTCGGTTGGAACGTTTGATCTAAGGATTTCTCTGCAAGCAGCTGGCTGCGTGCAGCTTCGCGACTGATCCAGTCGGAGCCGCAGGCTACTCGTTCTCCAGGAGCTGTGGCCGGCTGTGCAGAAACTTCGATAGGACAGGTTGGTGTTGGCTTGGTCGGTGTATGGCAGCGTTTCCGCTCCCTCTCCCAGCTAAGTTGTCCTGGTTGTGCTCTTTTGTACTTTTTCTGACCGTGGCGTTGTGCCAAGCTACCATTAGCATTGTGAGTTTCCAGGTTTTGCAGCGTTTTCTTGTCTAGCTAGTCCCCTAGATTCCACCGGGTCCGTCTGCGCCGCGTTGCGGTTTTGGTCCGGCCTCCTCCGGCGTCATACCCTACCAGGCGCGTTTCAGAAGCATTTCAGAAGCGGAGCGTCTTGCCTGCCGGCTCGCAGTTTTTGTTGATTTGGGCATATTTCCTGGACAGGCTACTTTGTACAGACAAAGTTAATAATAACTGTAATATTCCAGTTATAAACGACATGAATCAAAGATGTGTTGCTGTATTTTAGTGGTAAAAAAATGCATTCATCATCATAATTATTCTATATATATAATTTACACAGTGCCTGTAAACCGGAGGAGAACGCTGGCATTTCTCCTCCTACTTGAAAGACTACGGAGGGATAGGGTCTGCAAAATTAGTTTGTGTGTGTGTATATATCTATATATATATGCTATATATGCTCTGAAGGTTCCACTTCCTGCCTGCCCGACCTTACGTTACGGCTGCGCCGCGACAAAAATAGGATTCGATCCTAATTTTAGAGGAGCCCTGCGCCAAGCCGCTTCTGGGACGCTTCTGAGCCGTAACGCGCCGCGTGTGGTGGAATAACACCCATTGACTAGAGTGGCCGCGATCGCCGTGAGCACCACGGCGCAGCCGTAACGCGCCCGTAACGCGCCCGTAACGCGCCGCAGACGGACCCGGTGGAATCTAGGGGTCAGCCTGACTGTGTCCTGTGCAGCCACTTGGCTGACGCTGGGATAAGCACCGGAGTTAGCCGTGCTGTTTTTTCTTTAGACACCAGTTTTCTGGTCTTAGCTTTGTTTATTCGGCGAGTAGGAGCATTGCTCTACTCTTTCCGTTCAGCAAGTAGCTGGCGATGGCTGTGTCCCCGCACCCGCTCCCGGTTATGCTGCATCTGGCATTCGTTATTAACTCAACCAGTGAAGGCAGTGTTCTCGCCCCCGCTCCTGGTAGACGTGCTGCTTGATTCTTAGCAGCAGCCACCTGGCTAAACTGCCCTGTTAAGCTTCTTTATTTAATCCAGGTAGGTGAAGGCAGTGCTCTCGCTCCCGCTCCCTCTGCTGGTAACGTGGGTGTAGTTGTCGCCAGTAGGGATGGGCTTTTTGTACGTCAAATAATGAGGCGCTATATTTACTGTGTGTATATGTATTTTAAGCGGAAGTGGGGAAAAATGTGTGTTTCCATTCATAAAAAGGGTTAGTCTGTCAGGTGGGCGGAGTATGTGTGGTGGTTGTGTTGTCACAGCTGGTGTGAATCAGCTGGATGAGGGCAGCGTGATTGGCTGCTGCCTGCCCAGCCTTCCAGGGGGCTCCGTGGATTGGCCGGTGGTTGTTTAAATCGAGGGGCCGGGACATTTACCGGGAGATCCGGGAGAACGGAAAAGGTTCTTCCGGCTCTTCCTACGAGGCGGAAGAGCGAACGGGAAGCAAGGCTCTGGACGGATCGACGAGGAAGCGACTGTGAGGCAAGGGTCCACTGTGGAAGCTCTGCTGCACGAAGATTTGCTGTACGGCTGCCAGACGCTGATCGACGGGTCGGTTGAAGGCAGTATTGCAACGCTCCCAAGTTCCTGTTTATTGCAACGCTCTCAAGTTCCTGTTTATTGCAACGCTCTCAAGTTCCTGATTATTGCAACGCTCTCAAGTTCCTGTCTTTTGCACCGCTCACTTGTTCCTATCAGGGCCAGTGTGCCTCTGAGTCGGACACGCTCCGAACTGGGTGCCAGCAAGTGGGCCATTACATAGAGGGCTCACTCACGACATAGTTACATCCCTCTTTGTGTTAGGCGAGTAGTAGCAGTGCTCTACTCTTTCCGTTCAGCAGGTAGCTGGTGAAGGCTGTGTTCTCGCACCCGCTCCCGGCTACGCTGCATCTGGCTACCTACAGGATGGCTCATTCATGTAGCGCCTGTATGGCTTCTCTTGAGCCCGAGGACGGCCATGACCGCTGCCCCTCTTGCCTTGGCCTCGAGCATTCGAGGGAGGCTCTCACGGTAAGCGCCTGTATGAACTGTAGCTTCATGCCTCGGGCGCTCAGGGTGGCTAGAGTCGCAGAGGTGGAGCGTCTGAAAGCAGCCAATGGACACCTCTCCTCGTCACAACTTCCTCCAGCTCAGTCTGGCCGTTCTCGGCGACTTGATGGAGTGATGGCTATGGGTTCACCCCCCAGGTAGAGGACTTGAAACAGGCTGTCCTCTAAGGTGGATCGGTTAGCTGCTGTTATGGAGCGGATGAAGTTGCTCCTCTTGGCCCTTCAGCCAGGGGCCGGTGTGGGGGCTACTAGCTTGCCGCCTGGCCCTCCTTCGGTTGCCGCACCTCTGCTTGAGGATGCCATGTCGCTAGCGGCTTCGGCTAAACCTCTTCTATGAAGGGGTGGATGACGGGGCCCCGCTCACCCCCGAGGAGGCTTCCCACTACTCTGCTCAGAGCTCTCTGCAGGTCACAGCCTGTGACCCACGTGACACCGGCTACATATGCCGGTGTCGTCAGAGGATCTGTTCCCAGAATCTTCTCGTGAGCACACAAGAATTCTGAGTGACAGGATACTCTGGCGGTCATCCGGGACTCATAGAACCGTAGTTACAGACGTAACTATCGTTATTCAGACAGTTTTTTGCACTTCAAAAGACAGCTGTGTTTCTATTGCAAACACGATATGCAAATGACATACAAAGTTTATCCTTCACTGAAAAAACTGAAACGTTCAACAAATTCCACATAATTGCATTAGGTTAGTTGAAAGCAATAATATTAAGTTAACATGTTTAAACTTAATATTATTTATTTTAATAAAAGTCAAAGTTTCAGTTTTTTCAGTCTCAAATTATTAAAGGTTTGATTAAGGCAAGGCAAGACAAGGCAAGACAAGGCAAGGCAAGGCAAGGCAAGGCAAGGCAAGGCAAGTTTATTTATATAGCACCTTTCAACACAAGGCCATTCAAGGTGCTTTACAAAAAATGAAAGACATTAAGAAAATGGCATTTAAAATCAGTCATTAAAAAGAAAAGATAATAAAATACACATTAAAAGAAAAAATACATGGATAAAAGTTACAGTGCAGTTTAAGATGTGAATAGTTCAATTAAAAGCGGCGACAAAAAGAAAAGTCTTCAGCCTGGATTTAAAAGTAGTAAGAGTTGCAGCGGACCTGCAGGTTTCTGGGAGTTTGTTCCAGATATTTGGAGCATAATAATAAATAGTTATATCATTTATAAAATGGTGAACATTATTTTTTAAATACACATTTTGAGGCAAATATATATGATGTATAACCGCATATGAGGATGGGTGTGAAAATGCTTTTACTTCTACATTATCTGAAAACTGTTTCCTGTTTCTGTGAACGACAGAGTTCCTACATGTATAACTCACTCAGTGCCCAACATTCAGCTTGTCTAGCAGCAAGTTTGCAGCATGGAAGAATTCAACTCTTCTCTGGTCACCTTTAACATCTCCTCCACTCCTGATCATCCATCTACTGCCTCCTGGGTCTCCGTCAAACTGGTCCCAGCGGTGGTGCTGTCCATCTGCTTCCTGCTGGGAGTTCCTGGAAATATTGCTGTGATCATCCTCAAACCAAACTGGCAGCACCTGTCCAGTCTGAGCCAGAGTCTGATGCTGAATTTGGCCATATCAGACCTGATCTGCCTGCTCCCCCTGCCTCTGTGGATTTACACCTTACTGTACAGCTGGACTCTCGGCCTGGTGGCCTGTAGGCTCCTCACATATCTCATGTACTGCAGCCTTTATTCTAGCCGGCTTTCGGTGACATTGCTGAGTGTCCAGCGCTACCTACAGGTGGTGAACCTGCAGAACATTTTTGATCGTGTAGGAAAGAGGAGGCTTCTGGTTCTGCTCTGGCTGGTTACCGTGATCCTGTCCATCCCTGCTTTAGTGATCCGACAGGTGATCAAAGACCAGCATGGGACATCCTGCACAGGTTCCTATACGCTCCCCCTTCCCAGCAGGTGGCCGTGCTGCTGCCAGAGTGCCTTGTAGGATTGGTTTCAATTTCTGTCGTGGCCTTTTCATACATCAGCATTGGCATTTGTGAATAGCACACACACACACACACACACACACACACACACACACACACACACACACACACACACACACACACACACACACACACACACACACACACACACACACACACACACACACACACACACACTTCCTTTTTTTTTGTTTCCCTCATATTATCTTGTGTTAAATAAATATTTGTTTCTTTACAATTTTGCCCTCTGCCTTTATTTCCCTTTTTTCCTTATTTTGCTGTGGGTCCCAACTTGAGGAGTTAACCCCAGCCAATGATCAGGGTATGCAGCAGGTTCTCAAACCCAGGTCATCAAATAGCCACTTCGTCACAAGACACAATACATACAAGACACTGTTTTTGGCGTCTGTATGATTTAAACTTTTAAAGTGTACATTTTTTATAATGAGCACAGATTACATCGCTGTGTGTTTTAATGTGGTTCAGCGTTTCCCCAGTTTATCTCCATCGCCTGCTGTGTACTGCTGTTGGTGTGTTAGTTGGCCAACTCACACACTTATGTTAAAAGTTATTATTTAAATAATCTTTACAATGGTGAAAGGAATATGCAATGAGTATACCTGCATGACTTTGAATCTTCATGGTTAACTGCACTTATTGTTAGTCGCTTTGGATAAAAGCGTCAACTAAATGTAATGAAATGTAATGTTACTGATGCAAAAATTAGTAACTAGTGATTTATTTTTGTAGATTGAGGGGGATTTCATCTTAAACTAGTTTACTGTTACTGAATGTTAATCTATAACAATGTAGCATATTCTATTGGCTATACATTTTGTATGTAAATAAAAACTGTTTGTAAAGTACAAAAACCTCAAATGTCTTCTTGTGGTCTTTATAGTTGTGTTCATATTGAGCTGGTCCTTGTTGTGTCTTTTTAGTGGTAAATGAACAGTTCATCTCCAAATTAGTAATGTGCTTCCAAAGATAACTTCCAGAAAATGTCTCTGTTATATGTGGAATCTTTGCTTTTGCACTAATATAGATTTAGAAAATTGCATTATACATAGGTTATTTTATTTATTGTGTGGTGAAAGCTGTTCAAGGAAACAGATTATCAGGAAATGCATCATATAATGAGGCCAAGCAAAACTATGCAGCCATGAAAAACATAATTTGCATTTAGATATGTAGCCTTGGCATTTCCTCTTTAAATGTGTCCTCTTTATCCTGTGTAACACATCATCACTCACTCGGTGCCCAACACTCAGCTTGTCGAGCAGCAAGTTTGCAGCATGGAAGAATTCAACTCCTCTCTGGTCCCCTTTAACATCTCCTCCACTCCTGATCATCCATCTACTGCCTCATGGGTCTCCCTCCGTTTGGTCCCAGCGGTGGTGCTGTCCATCTGCTTCTTGTTGGGAGTTCCTGGGAATATTGCTGTGATCATCCTCAAACCAAACTGGCAGCACCTGTCCAGTCTGAGTCAGAGTCTGATGCTGAATTTGGCCATATCAGATCTGATCTGCCTGCTCCCCCTGCCTCTGTGGATTTACACCTTACTGTACAGCTGGACTCTCGGCCTGGTGGCCTGTAAGCTTCTGGCGTATCTCATGTACTGCAGCCTCTATTCTAGCATGCTTTCGGTGACATTGCTGAGTGTCCAGCGCTACCTACAGGTGGTGCACCTGCAGAACATTTTTGATCGTGTAGGAAAGAGGAGGCTTCTGGTTCTGCTCTGGCTGGTTACCGTGATCCTGTCTATTACTGCTTTAGTGATCCGACAGGTGATCAAAGACCAGCATAGGACATCCTGCACAGGTTCCTACGCTCCCCCTTCCCAGCAGGTGGCCGTGCTGCTGTCAGAGTGCCTCATAGGATTTGTTTCAATTTCTGTTGTGGCCTTTTCATACATTGGTGTCCAGAGAAAAGTGAACCAGGCAGCTTTCTTCAACAACCCACAGACGACCCGGCTCATCACAAGTATCATTGTGACCTTTTTTGTCCTAAGGATGCCGTATTACATCACAAACGTACTTGGTGTGGCAGCTATTCTGCTAAAAAATGACGGCCTATGGAAGTTTTGCTTGAACAGCTGGAACATTTTTGGCGCATTGGTATTTGTGAATAGCTGCCTTAATCCCCTCCTTTATGCTTTTGCTTTAAAAAACATGTGCACTCTATGCGGAGAAAGGGAACATTAGTGCTGTTGGTTATGCAAAGATGCTGATATTAGAGTAGCCTCTCACCAAACTTTCAAGTTGTTGTAGCTATATTTCACACAGACGCAGGATCTTGAATGAAAAAGAACATTTCTCTTTACTAACTCTCAGTATTTGTTTTTCTGACCTGGCCACCTGAAAGAAACATACAAACACTTTTGCTATATATAGAAAATAAAATACAAATAGGACTCAGGTTTTAATTTGACTTCTCTGGAAGAAGTGGTGGTGAAAACTGTTTCCTGTTTCTGTGAAAGCCTGACACAGTTCCTATAACTCACTCGCTTCCCAACTTTCAGCTTGTCTAGCAGCAAGTTTGCAGCATGGAACAACTCAACTCCACTGCGGTCCCCTTTAACATCTCCTCCACTCCTGGAGATCCATCTCCTGCGTCCTGGGCCTCCATCAAACTGGTCTCTGTAGTGGTGGTGTCAATATGCTTCCTGCTCGGAGTTCCTGGAAATATTGCTGTGATCATCCTCAAGCCAAACTGGCAGCACCTGTCCAGTCTGAGCCAGAGTCTGATGCTGAATTTGGCCATATCAGATCTGATCTGCCTGCTCCCCCTGCCTCTGTGGATTTACACTTTTGTGAAAGGCTGGACCCTCGGCCTGGTGGCTTGTAAGCTTCTGGCATATTTCATGTACTGCAGCCTCTATTCTAGCCTCCTGACAGTGACAGTGCTGAGTGTCCAGCGCTACCTACAGGTGGTGCACCTGCAGAAAATCTTCGACCGGGTTGGAAAGAGGAGGCTTCTGGTTCTGCTCTGGCTGGTTACCATGATCCTGTCTATCCCTGCTTTAGTGGTTCGACATGTGATCAAAGACCAGCATGGGACAGACTGCCACTTCCAGTACTCTTCCCAGTCCCAGCAGGTGGCCGTGATGCTGACAGAGACCCTGACCGGATTTGTTGCAATTTCTGTCGTGGCATTTTCATACATGGGCCTCCACAGAAAAGTGAACCAGGCAGCTTTCTTCCACAACCCACAGACCACCCGGCTGGTCACAAGTATCATTGTGACCTTTTTTGTTCTATGGATGCCATATCATATCACGAATGTACTTGGTGTGGCAGCAATTTCACTCAAAAATGAAAGATTTTTGAAGTTTTGCATGGACAGCTGGTACACTGTTTCAGCATTGGTGTTTGTTATCAGCTGCCTGAATCCACTTCTTTATGCGTTTGCTTCTAAAAACATGTGCACTATGTGCGGAGAAAGGGAACATTAGTGCTGTTGATAATGCAAAGATGCCGATATTAGAGTAGCCTCTCACCAAACTGTCAAGTTATTTTGTATATATTGATTGTTGTGTTTTTATTTAGGTCTTAATGTGTGCACATGTAAAAATGTGTCTTTGACTGTGTCTATACATACATATTTGCACACATATTTTTACATTTTATATTCTATATACATTGTTTTTATATTCGGGATTGTGGGAAACAGTATTTCGATCTCTCTGTCTGTACACACAAACTGGAAGATTTACATTAAAGTTGACTGTCAAGTTGTTGTATGTATTGCACGCTGATGCAGGATCTTGAATGAAAATTAACCATTCTCTAATAACTCTCCGTATTTGTTTTTCTGACCTGATATGTTTGTGCTCAGGCACATATAACTCACGTAGGGAGGGCAATGCACGCACGCACGCACGCACGCACGCACGCACGCACGCACACACACACACACACACACACACACACACACACACACACACACACACACACACACACACACACACACACACACACACACACACACACACACACACACACACACACACACACACATAAAAGGCGCCATTACTAGCTATACAGCCAGTTTTTTGCACTTCAAAAGACAGCTGTGTTTAGTGTCTATTGCAAACACGGTATGCAAATTACATGCAAAGTTTATCCTTCACTGAAAAAACTGAAACGTTCAACAAAACCACATAACTGCATTAGGTTAGTTGAAAGCAATAATATTAGGTTGAACATGTTTAAACTTAATATTATTTATTTTAATAAAAGTCAAAGTTTCAATTTTTTCAGTGTTGGCCACCAGAACCGCCTCTGAATAGGACTTGTGGCGAGATGAATTTTCTCAAAATATTAAAGGTTTGATTAAGATAGTTTTATTTATATAATTTATAAAATGGTGAAAATTATTTTTGAAATACACAGTTTGAGGCAAATATATATGATGTATAATCGCTTATATATGAGGATGGTTGTGAAACCAATTGGGATGTGTGAAAATGCTTTTACTTCTACATGATCTAAATACTGTTTTTCCATTTACTTTAGCAAGTGTACGCTTCATGAGTGCAAAAGGTTCCATGCCATTTCATGTGGTCAATAAAGTCAAAGCTCCATTTAATGTGTTGTGTCTAATTTTCTCCGTGTAGTTCATGTGAAGTGCGACTCATCGGAAACAAAAAGGCATGAACAGGCATACCATTTCATGAGAATAGACATACCGAGTTCCAAAAGTGGAAGTTTTCGGACGTGACTTCCCATTTGTATAAATTTGATACATGTCTATAATGCATGCACTGACCAAAACTAGCCTGGTTTTCTTAGTATACAACCAACTCACCGATCCAAATAACGGTTGGTTAGATAAACGAAACTTTTATGAGATAGAAACATCATATTTTTTATGTAGAGTAAGCTGTTCGTCTCACAAAGTCTCATCATTGGATATACTGTAGTATAATTCTACTCATCAGTTTTGAGTGCAAGACATTGATGATGATACGAAAAAAATTCCCCACATTCACTGGTGGCCACCTGAAAGAAACATACAAACACTTTTGCTATATATAGAAAATAAAATACAAATAGGACTCAGGTTTTAATTTGACTTCTCTGGAAGAGTGGTGGTGAAAACTATTTCCTGTTTCTCTGAACGCCTGACACAGTTCCTATAACTCACTCGCTTCCCAACTTTCAGCTTGTCTAGCAGCAAGTTTGCAGCATGGAACAACTCAACTCCACTGCGGTCCCCTTTAACATCTCCTCCACTCCTGGAGATCCATCTCCTGCGTCCTGGGCCTCCATCAAACTGGTCTCTGTAGTGGTGGTGTCAATATGCTTCCTGCTCGGAGTTCCTGGAAATATTGCTGTGATCATCCTCAAGCCAAACTGGCAGCACCTGTCCAGTCTGAGCCAGAGTCTGATGCTGAATTTGGCCATATCAGATCTGATCTGCCTGCTCCCCCTGCCTCTGTGGATTTACACCTTACTGTACAGCTGGACTCTCGGCCTGGTGGCTTGTAAGCTTCTGGCGTATCTCATGTACTGCAGCCTCTATTCTAGCCTCCTGACAGTGACAGTGCTGAGTGTCCAGCGCTACCTACAGGTGGTGCACCTGCAGAAAATCTTCGACCGGGTTGGAAAGAGGAGGCTTCTGGTTCTGCTCTGGCTGGTTACCATGATCCTGTCTATCCCTGCTTTAGTGGTTCGACATGTGATTAAAGACCAGCATGGGACAGACTGCCACTTCCAGTACTCTTCCCAGTCCCAGCAGGTGGCCGTGATGCTGACAGAGACCCTGACCGGATTTGTTGCAATTTCTGTCGTGGCATTTTCATACATGGGCCTCCACAGAAAAGTGAACCACGCAGCTTTCTTCCACAACCCACAGACCACCCGGCTGGTCACAAGTATCATTGTGACCTTTTTTGTTCTATGGATGCCATATCATATCACAAATGTACTTGGTGTGGCAGCAATCTCACTCAAAAATGAAAGATTTTTGAAGTTTTGCATGGACAGCTGGTACACTGTTTCAGCATTGGTGTTTGTTATCAGCTGCCTTAATCCACTTCTTTATGCGTTTGCTTCTAAAAACATGTGCACTGTGTGCCACAAAAGTACATATTGATACTGTTGTAAATACAGAAGCTTGCTGTTAAAGAAAGTGTAAATATTTTATAAATTAGGACAAATGTACCTGGTGTGGGAGCTAATTGGCTTAAAAACAAGGGACTGAGGAAGTCACTCTTATCTATTGCAGAACCTTTGTGATGTTAAAATAATTCGCAGAAATAACCCCACCATTACTAGTGTAACTTAGTCTAAAAATATCAGCTGATACACAGCTTGTTTTTAGCCACAATTCTAGTGAATTATTCCATATAATTATTTGTTTTACTTCTCTTGAGGTGTTGTGGTGAAAACTGTTTCCTGTGTTCTTTTTACTGTGTAAGTCTGACAAAGATCCGATCACTCGTTTGTTATTACTGTTATGATACTGAAAGAGGATGTTTGTGGTCAGCAAGATTAATCAGAGTAAATGATCTGCATCTCAAGCACACCATTACAGTCAATGTCTACAAATATATTTGTGTTAATCTATATGTATTGGTTGTGTTCAATGTTTAATGTTGTTCACTTAGCTTTATTGTTGTGATCTCTTTTAAGTCAGATATTTGAATAGCCTCTCACCACACTGTTAAGTTGTTGTCAGCAAAGATTCACACAAGACGCAGGTGCTTGGACGCAATTTACCATTCTTACCATTCCAAATCAGAATAAAAAATAAAAAAGCACACACTCACACACGCACACACACACTTCCTTTTTTTCAATCTAGATAATTTGTTGAAAGAATATTTGTGTGTTTACCATTAGAATCCTTTTTAATAAATGCTTTTTAATATAAATGTTGGTCTGTTATTAATGTTGTACAAGAGTGAATGCTGCCAACCTCTACTATTGATGACTCCAGAATCCTTCAACCTTGTTAAGCTAGTGATATGGTAATGTTTTGTTGTAATCATCATTTTAATCAGTATTTACATTAAAAAAATTGATATTTGGATATATTTTATTCAACTACATTAATTGGCTATCAATTTTTCTTTCCGAAGGGTAGTTCCCCAAGTAACTTTAATATGAATTACATTTATTATACAGGAACATCTTAAAGAACAATGCAGACCCTGGTGTCTGTATCTGCAGAGATCCGGCCATTTATTTGTAATTATTTTGTGTTAAATGCTTTAACTTGAACACACTGTTTAAATATGTGGAGTCTTTACTGTTGAATAATATCTAGATATGCATTTTTTGTTTTACTTCTCTTAAGGTGTTGTGGTGAAAACTGTTTCCTGTGTTCTTGTTACTGTGTAAGTCTGACAAAGTTCCGATCACTCACTCAGTGCCCAACTTTCAGCTTGTCTAGCAGCAAGTTTGCAGCATGGAAGAATTCAACTCCTCTCTGGTCACCTTCAACATCTCATCCACTCCTGATCATCCATCTACTGCCTCATGGGTCTCCATCCGTTTGGTCCCAGCGTTGGTGGTGTCCATCTGCTTCTTGCTGGGAGTTCCTGGAAATATTGCTGTGATCATCCTCAAACCAAACTGGCAGCACCTGTCCAGTCTGAGCCAGAGTCTGATGCTGAATTTGGCCATATCAGACCTGATCTGCCTGCTCCCCCTGCCTCTGTGGATTTACACTTTACTGTACAGCTGGACTCTCGGCCTGGTGGCTTGTAAGCTCCTCACGTATCTCATGTACTGCAGCCTCTATTCTAGCCTGCTTTCGGTGACATTGCTGAGTGTCCAGCGCTACCTACAGGTGGTGCACCTGCAGAACATTTTTGATCGTGTAGGAAAGAGGAGGCTTCTGGTTCTGCTCTGGCTGGTTACCGTGATCCTGTCTATCCCTGCTTTAGTGATCCGACAGGTGATCAAAGACCAGCATGGGACAGACTGCCACTTCCAGTACTCTTCCCAGTCCCAGCAGGTGGCCGTGATGCTGACAGAGACCCTGACCGGGTTTGTTGCCATTTCTGTCGTGGCATTTTCATACATCGGTCTCCACAGAAAAGTGAACCAGGCAGCTTTCTTCAACAACCCACAGACGACCCGGCTGGTCACAAGTATCATTGTGACCTTTTTTGTTCTATGGATGCCATATCATGTCACAAATGTGCTTGGTGTGGCAGCAATTTCACTAAAAAATGAAAGATTTTTGAAGTTTTGCATGGACAGCTGGTACACTGTTTCAGCATTGGTGCTTGTGATCAGCAGCTTTAATCCACTTCTTTATGCGTTTGCTTCTAAAAACATGTGCACTATGTGCGGAGAAAGGGAACATTAGTGCTGTTGATAATGCAGTAGCTCAATGTTTCAGGTAGTGTAATTACTTGATTTTGCATGATCTGAAATACCATTACATAATGCAGAACTTTTTGACATGAAAAGAAGACACAAAAAATATACCCATTAACCTGTGAAACTCAAAAAAGGTGATTTAGTCCAAAGTTCTAATATTATACACAGTTTAGAATTTATTTTATGATCAATTGTGAGGCTAACATAGTCTTTCCTCTGATTCTCCAAAAATATATGTTTTAATTGGTTAGGCAAAGAGTTAAAAGATGAAGATGGTAATGATACAGGCACCCACATATCAATTATTACTGTCATCATACTGAAAGATGATGTTTGTGGTCTGTAAGATTAATTCGAGTAAATCATCTGGAAGTTTATTTTGCATACAAAGTATGAATGTTTTACACAGTAGTGTCATTGTTACTGGACAAAGCAATCTGCAACATTCAATGGAAAAATCAGGACAGCTTCTCTTTTGTAAATGTATTGGTTGGGTTTAATGTTTAATGATGTTCACTGAGTTTCATTGTTGTACTTTTTTAGGTCATATATTAGAGTAGCCTCTCACCACACTGTTAAGTTGTTGGTAGCTATATTTCACACAGACACAGGATATTGCATGCATTTTAACATTCTCTTTACTAACTCTCCACATTTTTGTTCTGACCTGGCACGTTTGTTTATGCTCAGGCACACGGAACTCACATAGGGAGGACAACACACACACACACACACACACACACACACACACACACACACACACACACACACACACACACACACACACACACACACACACACACACACACACACACACACACACACACACACACACACACACACACACACACACACACACACACACACACACACACACACACACACACACACACACACACACACACACACACTATCACGCACACTTCCTTTTTTTTGTTTCCTTCACTTTATCTTTTGTTACATAAATATTTGTGTGCTTACAATTTTGTATCTAATAATAAATGCTCTATATTCCATATGCTGCTCTGTTATTTGTGTTGTACAAGAGTGAATGCTGCCAACCTCCATTATTGATCACTGTAAAATCCTTTAACCTAGGTAAGATATCAATATGGTCATAGTTGGTTGGAGTTATTAATTGTATTGTTAAATACATTTCTTAATTTATAGATGAGTACATTTTATGAGACTGCATCAATTGGTTATATTTTTTTCCCTATTCAAAGGGGAACAAATATTAACTAAATGTATGATATTATTAACTAAATGTATGATATGCAGGAATGTCCTAAAGAAAAATACAGGCTGATACAAAAGTAATCACTCTCAGTCATTACTCATGAACTATTAGAAGTGCGTGGCTGAAAGCTGTTTTAAGGGAACCGAATATGGGGAAATGTGTCAGATAATGAAGCCATGAAAAAAATAATTTGCATTTAAATATAAAGTACGTTGGCATTTCCTCTTAAGATGTGTCCTCTTTATCCTGTGTAGCACTCAATTATCTCACTCGCTGCCCAACACTCAGCTTGTCTAGCAGCAAGTTTGCAGCATGGAACAATTCAACTCCTCTCTGGTCCCATTTAACATCTCCTCCACTCCTGATCATCCATCTCCTGCCTCCTGGGCCTCCATCCGTCTGGTCACAGCGGTGGTGCTGTCCATCTGCTTCCTGCTGGGAGTTCCTGGGAATATTGCTGTGATCATCCTCAAACCAAACTGGCAGCACCTGTCCAGTCTGAGTCAGAGTCTGATGCTGAATTTGGCCATATCAGACCTGATCTGCCTGCTCCCCCTGCCTCTGTGGATTTACACCTTACTGGACAGCTGGACTCTCGGCCTGGTGGCCTGTAAGCTCCTCACGTATTTCATGTTCTGCAGCATCTATTCTAGCCTGCTAACAGTGACAGTGCTGAGTCTCCAACGCTACCTACAGGTGATGAACCTGCAGAATTGCTTGGATCGGGCAGGCAGGAGGAGGCTGCTGGTTCTCCTCTGGCTGGTTACCATGATCCTGTCTATTCCTGCTTTAGTGATCCGACAGGTGATCGAAGAACAGCATGGGACAACATGCACAGATTCCCCCGCTCCCGCTTCCCAGCTGGTGGCTGTGCTGCTGTCAGAGTGCCTCGTAGGATTTGTTTCAATTTCTGTCGTGGCCTTTTCATACATCGGTGTCCAGAGAAAAGTGAACCAGGCAGCTTTCTTCAACAACCCACAGACGACCCGGCTCATCACAAGTATCATTGTGACCTTTTTTGTTCTATGGATGGCATATCATATCACAAACGTACTTGGTGTGGCAGCTATTCTGCAAAAAAATGACGGCCTTTGGAAGTCTTGCTTGAAAAGCTGGAACGTTGTTTCAGGACTGGTATTTGTGATTAGCTGCCTTAATCCATTCCTTTATGCTTTTGCTTTTACAAATATGTGCACTGTGTGCAAAAAAAAAAAGTTAGTAAGGCAGAAGATAAGCATTTCGGGTAATGTAATCTCATGATTAAGTATGATCTCAAATAATATTACATAATGCAGAACTTAAAATACAAAATCAAGATAATTTATTGTTATTGTAGCAGGTATTGACAAAGAACACGACTGCTTTACTTTTGTAAATGTTCATGTATTGATTGGGTTTAATGTGTAATGTTGTTCACTGAGCTTTACTGTTGTAATATCTGTTCAGTCATGTTATTGAGTAGTTATTTATGTGAATACATGTAACTTGTGTTGGTCTTTGAAGACACACAGAGTGGAAATACAATGTTCAAAATGGCTTATCACTACCCAGATGTTTTTTTCTGACCTGACACCTGCTCTTGCACACACAAACACACACACTCTTAATGTCGCGCAATCAACACACACTGACACACTTCCATTTGTTTCAGTCTTTATATTTTGTTGAATGAATGTTGTGTGTTTACCATTATCATCTTTTTTTAATAAATGCTTTTTCATCTAAATGCTTGTCTGTTTTTGATGTTGTACAAGAGTGAATGCTGCTAACCTCTACTATTGAATCCTTCAACTGAGTTAACCCTCCTGTTGTGTTCGGGTCAAATCTGACCGATTTACTACTTTCATCAATTATAACTTTTTTGTTTTACATTCGATTGCATTAAGGCTTTATGATATCCTTCACAGTAGACATTTGAACATATAAAATTGTTGATCAACACTTTCATTTAATTTTGGATGCTTTAGTCAACTTTGTAACACATGGTGTTCCCGGTCAAAAATGACCACCATAAAGAAAAGGAATTAGTAACCATCCGGATCAGATAAAACACACACACACACACACACACACACACACACACACACACACACACACACACACACACACACACACACACACACACACACACCACACACACACACACACACACACACACACACACACACACACACACACACACACACACACACACACACACACACACACACACACACACTATATGTGTTTTACGTGGCCATCCCCCATGTGAATCACACCTGGCACACACA